AATCAATAATGTTGTTTTTTCTTTCAACTAAATTGACTTTTATTGTGAAGCTTTCATTATCTATTAGACAATATTATCAAAATACATACTTCGAAAGGAAATAAGTTATTTGAATTTGACTGATTGAAATCATGAGTCAATTGAAGTTAGACCATCATGGAAAACCTGAATGCACTGGACGCCCGTTTCCTCCTATTGTGGGACTCCTCAGAAGTGCGCATCCACGATCCCGCACCCCGCGAGATTCGAACCCAGGACCTATCAGTCTCGCGCCAGGCGCTTAACCACTAGACCACTGAGCTAGTCGGCATCCAACGGTGTTAATGACTAACTTCAACCAATCCACAAAAAATAGAATAAAACTGATTTACATTATTAGTGAATTATTTTGTTTACTTCAGTGTTATTCATTTCATCTCTGTTATTGTCAAAATATACTCGCTTTCTTTTAGGTATAAATATCAAAGTATATAAGTTGATAATAATAATTGAACGTAACTCCAAAAGAGTACTGATCGGTCTTAGTTAATCTAAGGACAATTATTTATATTGTATTGGACTAAAAAAAGTAACACACTTCAGGGGAAATGTTTAAAAGCTGTATTCTGTCTTTGATATTGTTAACTAAATTATAACCAGTATTTGTGTGAGGACTGCCTGTATCTATCCATTTTAGTTAAGTTAGTGGCTATCTGGATTTATTAGTTCAGAGAATACTGTATTGGGAATTTGAATTGAAAAGTTTTGTGTTCGAGTCCTAGTTCTAATCTTAACATTAGCATGTGGAAGGTATATATAATTGTCAAATCTCAAATCAGATGAACAGCTCATCCTATATTCGATTTCTAGCGATCATCGATCTATTCTAAAAAACATTTTCTACTTATTCTTCCATTTATACGGTAAAGTACGGTACAGTACGGTACGGACTGTCCCTATTCACTATTAATAACATAATTAATTCGATTTTAAATTTGTGTAATGACAAGCCTGAATACAAAGATTGGTACTTACATTTTGTTGTTCATATTGACATTTTAGTCACTGTCAAATGAAGTAGCTAAAATTCTAAGTACACATGCATACTTATATACATATATATTAACCAAAACTTGAAGTGTCATGGTATCATGGTAAAATCAGACATTAGTTAGTCCAACCATTCGGTGCATTGATGTTAGCGCATATGTTATTTTTTATTCATTATGAATTAGTAATTATAAGTAACATTTACACATACTACTTACATTGGTATTAAATGTTAATAAACGCTATTCTGAATGGTTTCATTGTACCGAAATATCTAAATTATAATTCATAACCAGACTAAATGTATAAATCAATGTGCAGACAATTTAAGCTAAAGATTCCTTTTTAGAAAAAAAAGTAGCGCAAATAGTGGGAACTACCGGATTTTTATTATTCTTTTCTGTTTTTTAAACGCTAAAATGTCATTCAGTGGGAGGGAAAAAACTATATATATATATATATATATATATATATATATATATATATATATATATATATATATATATATATATATATATATATACTGAGACTCTTTCAACTTGAGTTAATTTGGAAACATAAAAGGATATTACAACTTCACTATTGGAATGATTATAGACGACATTATAGTCAATAGACAGAATTTGAAAATGATTATGTAATTCATGGTAAACTATGTTTTGTATGCTTTTATCATTGTGTAATTAGTCACCTAGACATTTTATAACGCGTATGGATATGAATGTGCTTTTCTTTAATATTTCGATATAAAGTACAGTTTGACGACAATGTAGAAAGTCAATATTCCAGAGGTCGACTATTCTGTAGCCATATAGATGATTTCCTCTACTACATGCATTACGATTTTAGAACCTCTGAACCTCTTTGTAACCTTGACAAGTTTTTGAACCATCAACTCTATTTCTTTGGTTTCGTATATAATTTTACTCTATACTGGCTGTTTTCTGATTGGCTGATATTTCTCAAGGTCACTTATGATTCGTTCAAAAGTCGTCCATAAATTATAGTCTCGACCCAAACACTAGTCAACTTTGCGCGTCGTAGTAATCGATATTTAGGCATAAGTGACACGTTGCCCAACCATCTCAGTCGATGAAAATTCAGAACTTCATCAACCAATTTACCATCATTCCCTAATACCCTACGTCTAACCTCACTATTACGTACGCAGTGATCCCAGCAGATGCGAGCAATACAAATACAGTTTTACAGGTTAAATTGAACTTAATATTCTACCCTCCAAATATCACCTACCAGATAATAATGATTGTAAAATACTTTCATGATGATATACATAAATCTTTTTTTATTAAGTAATTCCATCTATTCCCTAATGAGAGAAAACACTAACATATAAAGAGACAATATTTCTAACAGAGTTCCGATAGATTTATACAAAGACTAGGAATTTCACAACAAACAATAATAACAGAAGGAGTTTTTGTGGAGATTGTAGTAATTTCAATAGTTGAGATCATGAGTTAATTGGATTTAGACCACCATGGAAAACCTGGAAGCATTAGACGGCCGTTTCATCCTAGTATGGGATTCCTCAGCAGTGTGCATCCATGATCCTGCCCCGCGAGATTCGAGCCCAGGACCTATCAGTCTCGCTCCAGGCGCTTAACCAATTAGACCACTGAGCTGGGCGGTATCCAACGGTGTTAATGTCTAACTCCAACTAATCCACGAAATTGAGTGACACATCCACCATTGTCTTCAATGAGTTACTACCTCACAACAATAATAATCAATCTTTTGAAAAGTATGGAAACAAAGTATACCATCAAAAATAAAGTACATAGCTTTTTCATTAATTTACTTTGAAAACAATATCTTACCCTACCATTTGGACTATTCCATTTTCTTTCTTTTTTTGTTGTTTTGAATATGCAATACAGAACAGAAAAATAGCCTGTTTGAATTTTGTAAAAATATTTCTTACATAATCATGTAGTGATAGTTTATGGTTTCTTTTTTGTGATGGAAGAAAAGATTTGTTGCTTTAAATATACACCAAGATAACCAATGACTGGATACTACGTTCTACTTTTCTATTGAGAGGGTATTACACTTCTATAATTACTTATCATGTTTTTTTTATTGGATTCTGATTTCTTGGTAAAGTATAAAAGGTAGCTTTAGCGTCCGAGAAATTATACTGAGTTTTATGATCTTAATATAGATTGTCTATTACTATTACTGTTACAGCTAGTAATAATAACAGTAATAACGTGGTATGTGCTACTGATGCCGACAGATATAAGTAGTATGTATCATCAATTGAAGGCGAAATGCTTAGCGGTAGAAGGTTAAAAAAATGGAAGAGAAGAGAACGAGAACACAGAATGATCTGTATGGATACGAAGGAACAATAAGGTCTGAGACAAATGATGAATATTTTGCAAATGAACTGTTATTGTATGGTTCTCAAATTTGACTAAGACACTGTAATGTTGCATCTCACAAACACTTGGTTGTGTTCTCGTTCACTACAACAATAGTAATACTGTAACTTATTCTACTACTCAGTAATTTGTCCTATTAATTTCATTTCTATATGCTAATATGGTGTAACTACTTAGACCGATACACAAATGTGCTAGACTCTACTGAGTGACTCACTATACAGGTTGATTGAATAGGTTCAGGGTATTTTGATACTATTTTAAGTTAAATTACTAACCTGTCAACCGTTATTTGATGTCTGAGAATTTGAATATTTATCTTCTTAATGTTTCATTGGTTAAAGGATTTTAACTAAACTTTAGTGAACTTAATATCTTGCTCAATGGAAAATTCTGTGATATATTTAGATCGATTTTTAACAATACATACTAGTTTAGACTTTACAATCAATGGAAGAGTTTAATACGTGTGAATGAAATGAAATAAGGAATTTGTTATTGACTGAGGAAACTCAGTCTAGTACCAACTTTTCAGTTGTTCACTTATTGATTAAAAATCCTATGATCACTTTAGAATACTTGCACAATATTGTGAGACTGAAAAAAATATTGAGAAATTCTTTAACGAAATTCTGAGTATTATAAGCAAAGATGGATGGTGTTTAACAGTAGAGTCCAGGAAGCATGTTTCGTCATATACGTGACACATCAGCTGGATATACCATCATCCCAGAGTTGTTGTTTATTCCGCAACTCAAACCCACTACACTTCGCTTCAGATGCTATCGCGTTATCCACTTAGCTACTGAGTCCTGGTACTGGGTCCGAGTTCAGGAGTGAACATCAAATCTTGGACTCAGGCACATCCAGCTGGTGAGTCCCGAACGGGACGAAACGTGCTTCCTGGATTCCACTACTAACCACTATCCATCTTTGCTTATAAAGCTTGTGATTCAAGGCAATATGGAGGCAATACGCACAGGATGCACATATCTCAATAAGAGATTGATCAATTTACAGTCCTAAACAACAACTGGAAGATACAAGCAAACAATAACAAATGAAGTGAAATTTTGATTAGTTTTTATTATGAATATTTTAGAAGTATGGAGTATAAAAGTATTCTTCTGACCCACTTTCGATCTACATCGAATTATGAGAGGTGACTAAAACTTTACATATTTCGATAATTAAGTACGAGGAAAAACACCTATTATGTCATACATACAATAGTTTTAGATGGTGGTTGGAGGTAGTCTACAGGAAACCCAACCACCATCTAATCTCAGTATATAGTGCCCGCAATGTCGATTCACCTAGACTGGTGGCCACATTGAAACATGATCGATAGCATTCGATCTGCATTATTAAGGACTAGACACGCATGACATTGATCACCACCCAGTGATCAATCAATTGTGATACAATAGTTTTATCTACTGAAGAGTACTATTTTCTATGAATGTTGTAAATTCGTGGATATATGTCACTGTTTAAACTATAAAACTTATTCCTTTAAATTAGAAAAGAAAATTATAATCTTTTGTATTTTGTTTTCTACAGTGGAAAATTTGGTGAAGTGAAACGATGTCAAGAAAAAAAGACTGGAAGAGAATTTGCTGCAAAATTTGTTCCAATTGCTAGTGAAGAAGATATGAATAGTATATTAAATGAAATTGCTGTTATGAATAAATTAAGACATCCAAGATTAATTCAATTATATGATGCATATCAAATTGATGAAGAAGTTACACTTGTTCTTGAATTGTAAGTTAACATATAGTTGATCTTGTTTTAAAGAGTTTTTTATTTCTATAAAGGGATTCTGAAGGCCGTTGAATTTTATAATTTATTTTATGAGCTAACCTTAGTTAGACTGGAAAGAAGGAAGCGTTGGTTATCTGTTTCGTATTAGATTGAGACTTCCTGGATTCAGTGCGTATCCACAACCTTACAGGGGACCTAACCCATGACGTTAGAGATTTCTCGATTAAAACTCAACCTATAGATTAATGATTCGGCATCCAATGGTTTACATGTCTAATTTTAATCATTTCACGATACTGCACAATTATCTTCGGTCTTACGATAGAATTTTTAGATGAATTAAGAAAATCTTGAGAAAACTTTGGAAAAACCATATAACTAATATACATTAATTTAGGAACTTTTAGAGGTAGATTCTCTTGAATAAATTGTACATTCACACGAATTCGCTAAGTAACAATGTTTTACAGTAGACGATATCAAAGATTTATCAATATGAGGGTTAAAGTGATCAACCATGCCGCTTGTAAGAAAGGTATCCACCAAAGATACCGAGAGATGGTTGTACAGTATCACCGATTAACGTTAGACATTAACACAGTCAGATTCTGGCTTGAAGGTCTAAAGGTTAGTCGTTTGCGCTTGGAACTCAATGTCTTGTGTTCGGTCCTCGGTGTTGGAGTTGTGGATGTGCATTGCTGTGGAGCATTGTACTAAGCTGTAACAGATGTCCTGTGCTTCTAGGTTTCCAATGGTAATCTAGCCTAGATTTTTTCGTGATCACAATCAAATGATAATCATTCAGTTTATCATTGTATTTACTCAAGTTCCTATTCACTAAAGTTTTGAAACCGGTCAGTTATTAATTCACAGTACGTTAGCAAATCGCATGCTGCTTACGATGTAACTGTAAGATATAATTGTTTGGAGCAGGATACACGAAAAACACTATTCATTGATTATGGAAGCATCAGGTAAAAACGTCTTTTGAGATTAGAAACTATCCGTAATTACCTACAGCTTTCTTCATAAACGATATGTTGTCCTAGTTTCCGTTTCTTATAAATACAAGAGAACAACATTGATTCAATACTATACTAGTACTAAATATCCAATTTCATATTTTAGGTAAACTTCAACCTCATCATAAATCAATAGTAATAAAAATAACTTGAATGAAAGTGAATGTTATTGAATGCACTAAGGATATGCCTTGATGTCCTTTGTGAGTAGTTACTCCACTCTTGACCCAGTTAAATTTCACGAACCAAAACTTGTAGCCAGGAGTTCAGGTCTCATCCATACTTTAGTAAATGTGTTGCATAGCGCGTTTTAGCTTTGAGGGTTCCTCTGAATGTTATCAATCTGAGAATAAAGTTAACTCTTATTTAATTTCACAAACCTTTCAGTCAAACTTATATCATTTTACTTTTCCTAGTACTACTTATTAGATGAAGTATGTCCAGTGTAAAATATGCTTAATACTTAAATTGAGATTAATAAATGTTCAAGTCAGTAATTCAAGGCAAACTGAATTTTCGGATACTTTGTGTAATTTTTTTGATGATACAATACCTATACTTTTCTTAGGCTGCTATTTTATGTTTCTACTAGATTGTTGTCTTCATCAGGGCTGAGCTAACTCATTAGGTCTTATTAGAAAAATTGATAATAATTCAATGTCCGACTTGATGTTCAATAGTTCATACTTTCCAACTATTATCGATCCGTGATATATCACAGTCATTATTCATTGTATTTAATCTCCTCTTACCATTATGTCCAATTCTGTCAATTCAGTATGTAATGGCCTTACACAAAAGTTCATAACATTCATTTTAAATAGGTTAATCGATGCATCATTTAGCACCCCAAGTGAACAATAAGCAATCATATGAGAATATAAGTTGACTATATCAACAGAGTATTAACACTGCTAAAATAAATTTGAATAATACCTCATTGAGTTCAGTCTACAATAAATTAACCTGATCTCCTATGTAGCAAAATATATAAGTAAAAGAAAATCTTATTTAAATTAATGATAAAAATATTCACTTGATGTTGTTTACTTGTTTCTTCCTATTGTTATTTGGGACTGTAATTCAGTAGTCTCTCGTTGGCATATGTGCTTCCTGTGCGTATTGCCTCTATATTGCCTTAAGTCGTAAGCTTTATAAGCAAAGATGGATAGTGCATTTTGAGTCCCAAAGTGAACATCAACTCTGAGATGTAGATACATCCAGCTGACAAGTCCCAAATAGGATGAAACGCACTTCCTGGATTCCACTAATAGCCACTATCCATCTTTGCTTATAATGATAAAATAGTTTTTAAATGAAATTCAGCATCTGTCCATAATTATTAGATGAGTTTTTCTCTTATTTCAGTGTAGGGAATGTCTAAAAAAAGTATCATTGAAACATTTTGTTTTAATTATTCATTTTAAAATATGGTAACATTTTGATAAAAGGTGGAAATTTAAATTCATTAATAGAATGTCATTTGTTTATTCATTTCGTTACACCTTATTCATTATAAAATAATTTTTCTAAGAAAAAAGACTCGTTCTTAATTAGTTTTAAAAAGTGATATTAACAAAACTATTTTCACTAAATCTCAAGTAATTTATTAGAATTCTTTCTGACAATAGAATCTAATCCGTGTAAGGTAGAGACGGTTATTCATTTCAGATAATGTTTGAAGAGTTGCGCGAAATTGTGGATCGATTAAAGTTAGATATTAACACCGATGGATGTCATGCAGCCTAATGGTCTAGAGGTTAAGTGTTCTCGTGTGAGATCGAAGCTCTTGGGTTTTAAGTCCCATGTGAGAGACTGTGAATGAGCGCTGCTGAGGAGTGCCATACTCGAACGGAAAGGCTATCCAGTACTTTCAGGTTTTTAATAGTGATCTAGATTACATCGACACATAAACTCAACTAATAAAATTACTGCTCTCCACAAATCCACATTCTTATAATTAAATTAGAATTGAGTTTCTTTCTTTTTTCTTAGAACATTTTAAAGAAACCGAATTTTTAAAATATATGGACATGAACATGTTTCAACTAATGAATTAATGGCATTCAACGATACTATAAACTAACTTTATTTTATTAACAAATAAAACAGTTTTCAATTGAGTTAACAACTAGATTATTGAGTAATTCACTGGGGTTGAAAGTTTATTTGGTCATTTTGGTGTGCATTTAAGCTAAACAAACATTTTTTTTATAATGAACTTTTTTATGACAGATCAGATTTTTCAGAAGATATTTTAATTTAGTTCTGTATTATATTTTATTGGCAATGAATATCAAATTTGCAGGGTGTGGCCCCCTAAGAAAACCGCCTGCTTCGGTTTGGGCACCCGGGCAGTATCACAGCCCACACACAAATATGATGAACTGTCGATAATTTGGGAAAATACTTTTCTTGCTTCAATTAACAATCAAACGATTCACATTATTATTACTATTATTGTTATTATTATTATTTACTACGTCATTTATTCACTCTCTTTTATTCCTACTCTGTCTATCCTTATTTTTCGACTTATACAGCAGCTCACCTATGGTGGAAATTCGGCTCTATCTAAACGTTCTCGAGTAGAGACGTTATCAGATATGACTCAGAATAGAAGCCAGTGGCGATCCTGCTGTAACCTTCTTTTACTTTCTTCATAAAAAGTGGTTGCTTCTTCCTTAACTGAAAGATCTCTTCTGACTGTACGTTTCTCTTTCCCCCATTATTATTATTACACTACCTTACACTAATCTGTTCGTTATTGTTCTTTTTTTACGCTCCTTACCTTTTTTTTCCTTCTCTTCAAATTCTCATTGGTGCCCTCTTGTACCAATATTTATGTGTTCAAATAAATAAATAATCAAATTTGCTTGAATCAATGTAGTGAGTAAATAAAAACCACTACTATGTTGAATTACTCTACTAATTAATTCATTGCTTCTAAATAATTGGTTAGGATTATATATGTAATTCTACTGGGAGCATGTGTTGGTTTTAAACTGGGTTTTTTTGGAGTAGATAGATCATTAAAACCAGGAATATTGTATCAACTAGTTATGAATAAAATACTGTCATAATCGCTAGTATTGAATCGAAAGAACAAGTGACTACCGTTTACAATAGTTAACTGTACGACAGTTAACATTATTTCTACTTATCACACTGTCGAGTATCTGGGATCTCTTAAAAATTTAGGCAAATATGTCATATTGTTTCCTAATTCAAACAAAATACTGTAACCAAAACAAAGGTATTCATTTTGTAAATTGTACAATGATTCTTAAAAACTGAAATAGATCATATAAGAATGCAACATTAGTTATTATTCCTTAACCTCTGGTTAGTTTGTTAGCATGCAATATTCATTTAATATACCACTTACATATTCTCGTTGAAAGGTAAATTCACTTATTTGTTGACAGGTCAGTTGTCCGGTACATCTGTGATTCCATACATTATCTTAAACCCTAGGGCAACTATGATTTGAAATTTAGTTACATAAAAGTCTATTAGTTTAGGCTAATCTACCAGGTTTTCCTATTTAATAAAGATCTTATTGAAACATTTTTCTATAAGGTTTCATTGATCAAATGTAACACAAAAAAGACCAGACAATTTATAGAAGCTTGGGACTCCAGTCTTTCAGAAATGAGTGAACCCATCAGAATAAGTTTGATCTACCAGGTAATTAAGGAGATGATAACGAACTACAAATTATCAGAATGGGTTTTGTGGAGAGTTTTAGAAATTACACAGGTTGAAATCATGAGTCACTTGAAGCTAGACCACCATTGAAAACCTGGAAGCACTGGACGGCCGTTTCGTCCTGGCATGGGACTCCTCAGCAGTGCGCATCCGCGATCCCGCACCACGCGGGGCTCGAACCCAGGACCTACTGGCTTCGCGCGCAACTTCGTGGATTGGTTGAAGTTAGACATTAACACCGTTGGATGCCGGCTCAGTGGTCTAATGGTTAGGTGCTCGCGCGCGAAGCCAGTAGGTCCTGGGTTCGAGTCCCGTGTGGTGTGGGATCGTGGATGCGCACTGCTGAGGAGTCCCATACTAGGACGAAACGGCCGTCCAGTGCTTCCAGGTTTTCAATGGTGGTCTAGCTTCAATTGACTCATGATTTCAATCTGTGTAACTACAAATTAGAAAAAAACATACTTGTAAAACATTGATTAAAGTAAATATTCCTACCTTCAACATATCCTGACAATATTGATGAATATTTTTCCTTGTTGTTACTTTTCTTATGTTCTCTTCTCTAGTTTTGATAAATTGGGTCAATAAGGAATTGGTAAAGTGATAAATGAATTTTATTCGCTTAGAAATAATTTGCGTTTTTAAGGAATGAGATGAGTTAATTCGGTTAAGCGATGAACTTTATCATTCTTATAAATAAATAATATATTTGTAATATCCCAACGAATAGAAAAATTAGATTTTTTGACGTTTCGTGACTCAATGCAAGTTACTTCTTCAGAGAATAAATAACCATTCTCATTCTTAGTCTTTTCAATAGAATGCCCGATTGGGGTCGTGTATAGGAAGCTGGGAATCAATAACAGACTTGAACACCTCGTAATATGTCTTGTCGATTGAACGCTACTTGTTATGTTTGGTCGTCGCTGATTGTTATGTCGGAAATGCTTATCAATTATACGCAAAACGAGGAACCTCTGCAATTTCCACGATGTGAAAGTAAGAACACAAAGACTGGTATAAGCGAAGCACAATTAACCCCCAAAACACGATGACAATGACGACAACCCTAGTAGAAAATACACGCATTCATATATTGATTGTACACCCATTTTGATTAATAATTAGGACGAAATCACATACATGAAAAATACTTACTGTTATAACAAATTATATGCTGAGTATAGTTTATGTCAATTGAATACAAGAATATCGTATGTTATACAGAATAAAAAGGTCATACGAGAAAACAAAACCGAATACTACATTGAATAATCATTACACTGAAAATTAAAACGAAAGTAATCTTGAACGAAACTCGTAATGAGTAAATCAATCGAATTTTGACTTTTCTTCACATTATATCACATTGTAACATGTTTGACTTTCATTCCACATATGAATACTTTAACGAAGTAATATGTGATCAGATTTCTTAGAAAGAAAAACGTATTATATTGTTATATGATCTAGTTCGAATAAACTTCAACTTCTTATTGAACTACTTTATCCATGATACATTTTTCTGGATCTCTTTAGTTAAACTCATCAATAGTAAGCTTATTCAACATATTCAAATTGAATGTCTAACATTTGGAGATTGTTAAGTTTATGAATCGATTGATGTTAGACCACCATTGAAAACCTATAATCAGTGCATGGCTGTTTCGTCCTAGTATAGATCGATTGTAGTTAGACATTAACACCTTTGGATACCGTTCAGCCTAATGGTCTAGATGTTAAGCATTCACGTGTAAGATCGAAGCTCCTTGGTTCGAGTCCCGCGTGCGTTGTTATGGATTCGCACTGCTGATATTTCGTTTTAATTTAACTTATATTTCACGTTGATCATATTGATATTATTTCTATACATTTATTATTACAGGATTACAGGGGGTGAATTATTTGAACGAATTATTGATGAATCATTTAATTTAAATGAATCTAGATGTATAAAATTTATGCATGAAATACTTCAAGGTGTTGAATATATGCATTCACAAAATGTGATACATCTTGATTTAAAGGTAAACTCAACGTTTATCAGTTGTGTTATGTAGTTGAGTTAGGAACTCAGGGAATTTTTCATATTGTTAGCTATTATAGATAAGTTTGTTATTGTTATAAACTGTATACATGTATTTAATTAGTGGTTAATTTAAATCAACTACTGCTTCGTTCTATATGTTGCAATCTGTATTTTGACTAAATAAGTGAATCATATATCGTTCCAGGTAATTTTGACATACTTAGTCAATCAATTATGGAATCATATAAGAAGGGCTTTGTGGATATTATAGTAATGTCAATGACCGTCTAGTGCTTTTCCATGGTAGTCTAGCTTCAATTGACTTATGATCTCAACCATTAAAATTATTGAATCGTTGGTTGAAACTATAATGAGTCTATTGTTCATACATAAATGGTGAATGTGTCACTCAATTTCGAGGATTGGTTGAAGGTAGACATCAACACCGTTGGATGCCGGCTCATTGGTCTAATGGTTAAGCGCTCGCACGCTTATCTCCAATTTTGTATTATTCATTACGTCAAGTTGTATTAGTCCTTATTTAGTTATACAAGGGGCAAGTAATCAGTTACGTCAGCGCGATATAACATGTAGCAATCAGTAACAGTACTTTATCCAGATACAACAAATTGTTTGATGGTTTGCTGTGTAGTGTTAATGTCAAAGTGAAACTCGGATAAAAGTGATAATGATATCATTTTTGAAGTCTTTTCATCATTAGTTAAGGTTGTAAAACTTTTAGTCTTTCGTCGATTTTCATTCAATCATGTTCAGAGGTAGATTGAAATCATTGACGAAAATAGATGATAAAAAATTTATTTCATGAACTAAGCGAACTTGGAATTGTGAATTCCTAAATAAAAACTTATCTGCCGAAATATACGTTGATTACTATAATACACGAATGCTTTAGCTCCAATGATGTAATGAATAAAGAGTAAAGTGGTTGAAAGCAATCAGCCAGAAACCCTGGATTTAGGATTTGTGTTAGATGGTACCTATCACTAAGACGTACCTACAATATTGTGGACACTAGTGCTTCCTGTAAAGTATGAATCCACGTCACTCAGTTTCATAGGATGAGACGTTACAAATGTGCTGTTCGGGCTGTAACTGACCTCTTGTTGAACTGAAATACTTATATTAATTAATCATTGAGTAATAATCCATATTATATTGGTTTAGTCCTGAGTGCTGATAAATCGCTTTCAAACCAAATGAAAGAAAACTGTTTATTCAGTTACATTCAAACAAATACAACAATGTAGTATTTTGAATAGTTAGATCTAACTTTTCATAATCACTTTAATGAGAAATTGTTCATCTCTGAAGATAAATCACAGGTTTGTATAGTCTAAAACAAATGAAACCATTCAATCATTTAATATATTATTATCTCACTGAACAGTTGTATAACATCTCATATCAGTTCGTGATAAAAATACTTCCTGGGACGATAAAAATCTTCAACAAATTCATTTATTTCTAAAGAAAAATTTACTTTTATGCTCACAGTTAGTAACACTAGACAATAATAAAGAGGAAATCATGCGCACTGCTGAGGAGTCCCATACCAGGACGAAACGGCCGCCCAGTGTTCCCAGGTTTTCCATGGTGGTCTAGCTTCAATTGACTCATGGTTTCAATCAGTGAAGTTTCTAGAAATCTCCACAAAACCGATTGTGATAATAAAAATCATATTTAGTTTAACAAGATATGAACAGTGACATTAATGATTCTTTTAATATATGTAGTAAATATGAAAAAACTGATCAAAATAAAAGAAACTTGATCATAAACCAAGCTATATATATATATATATATATATATATATATATATATAGATAGATAGATAGATAGATAGGTAGATAGATAGATAGAGAGGGGGGAGAGGGTGAGAGAGATCTGCAAGTTACGTAACAAATATTTTATTAACTTCACTAGTGATAAATCATGTTTTGTTTTTATTTTAGCTGTCACTGAAATGTTTTTTTTTGGTTTTGTTTTTAATTAATGTTGTGTTGATGAATTATTTACGAGTATTTTTTTATCTAATTACTTCACTAGTGATAGTTTAATGAAAGTAAACAGGTGGGAACGATCAAAAGTCTCATAACATGAAATTACAGAGTTATTTTCTTCAAATGTGAAAACCATACATTCAATCCTTCATTTTTAAAATGTCCATCAATTGTCTCAGACTTTGTTGTTCCTATGTTTCTATACTAATCACTCTCTGTTGTTTTTCTCTTCCATTTTCTTAACCTTCTGCCACTAGGCATTTCACCTTCAATTGATGATACAAATTACTTATATCTGACGATATCAGTAGCACACATCACAATATGATTATTTGTCATAACTGTTATAACTTGTGGTTATGTGACCTTATCAATGTATAACGTAGTGATAATGCCAATTAGACAACATTGATTTATCGAACGGACCAATGACGCATAATACCCGTACGAGCAGTCTAGAGTCTTTTTATCGGTCCTGCTTCCTGCTTAGCCATGCCTGTTAAGTCTAAAACACCAATCTCAGCCTCTGCGATATGAATCATTTAGTTCAAACATACTGGGTTCATATACAAACCAAACAGACCGCATAAAATAGGAAATAACATTTGTACAAGATCTAGCCAGAAGTGGCTGTGAATGTGGTAGACTGTAATTAATAGACTGGCAATAACTGAAGAATGGTAAATCGTATAATAATATTTCATAGATCAAAATGAAGCTTATAATGAGAGGAACATGAATATGCATAGTTTAGTTATTTAATAATTATACAATAAAAATAAATGTATAGTATTAATCCAGAAATAGATTTCAACAGTTATCATTCATTATTCTCATTGGGATATAACAAAAACAAAATATATTACTCATTCATAAAAATTACATAATATTTAATCCTGTCAATTACATTGATAGAGGCATATTAATAATATGTAATAATATAAAATATTTCAATAATTAATTGTTTCCTTAATATAAAATTATCTAAGGTAATAGCTCATTAAAATATACATAAAATCAAATAGGTTATTCTAATTTGAAAATACTATCAATCAAAGAGATTTTAATTGCATATATTAATTAATTTTAAGAAACTAATTAATCAATTAATTAATTCATTCATTAATTAGTTGATTAATTAATTAATTTCCCATTTCTGTTCATGTGACTTGATTTCGATCTGCTGCTTTATTGAATGTAAAGTAATGAATTATTAAGAAATTTTTAAATAAATACTAAATTTCAATGGTTAAGATCATGAGTCAATTGAAGCTAGATCACCATGAAAAACCTGGAAGCGCTAGACGGCCGTTTCTTCCTACTGTGAGACTCCACGGTAGTGCGCGCCCACGATCCCACCTCGCGAGATTTGAACCCAGGATCTAAAAGTCTCGCACGCGAGCGCTTAAGCATTACACCACTGAGCTGGACCGCATCCAACGGTGTTAATGTCTAACTTCAACTAACCCATCAAATTGAGTGACACATTTACCATTTATGTATGAACAACAGACCCACTCTAGTTTCAACCAACGATTCAATAATTTTAATGATTGATATCATAAGTCAATTGAAGCTAGACTACCATGGAAAAGCACTAGCCGGCTCAGTGGTCTATTGGTTAAGTGCTCGCGCGCAAAACCAGTAGGTTTTGGGTTCGAATATCTCAGGGGGCGAGGTCGTGGATGCGCACTACCGTGGAGTACCACAATAGGACGAAACGGCCGTCCAGTGTCTCTAGGTTTCCCATGGTGGTCTGGTTTCAACTGACTCAGGATCTTAACGATTGACATTACTATAATATCCACAAAACCCATCAAACATCAATTATCACCACTAATGAAATACAACACAAAATATTAAAATTTTCCATAGAAAATGTAAATAATTTGTAGTGTGGTGCGTGCTACTTATATTGATATAAGTAGTATATAATGCGAGTCAGAAATGTAATGTCTGGCAGCAGAAGATGGGGAAGATCAAGAAAGGAAGAACGGGAATAGAAAGTATGGAAATGCAAGAACAACGAAGTTCGAGACAATTATTGAACATTTTGCAAATTAAGTATTATCGTATGGTTTTTCTATTTTACCAAGTAACTCTGCAATTTTGTGCTTGATATAATTCGGTTTTCCTCACCTGTATTCTCCTTCACTACAGTAGTAGAAGATGATTTCATTGAAATTGTATTGTCAGAGTGAAGTGAGTTAATCATGAAGTTTTCATTGTCTATCTAGACATAACATCATAAGAAAAGAGAAAAACTTTGAGCTGAATAAAATGTCGTTCAGTTTTAAAGGAATTCTTATAACTTATTCTTGTTTAGAGTTTATACTGATGATATTGGCTAGTAAGTTGTGAAAAGCTTTAAGATTAAACTGTTCAATTTGAATAGAGTAATTTTAACAATCTATCACATATAAATGTATCTATACTGTAAGTGAACTAATAACGACAAAAAAAAATAAATATTCCTCTTTATTCATCCATTTACATTTTTTTCATTATAGCCTGAAAATATATTGTGTTTATCAGCGACCAGTTTTAAAACAAAAATTATTGATTTTGGATTAGCTAGATTTTATCAAGATCAAAATTTATGCGTTCTGTTTGGTACACCAGAATTTGTCTCACCTGAAGTAATCTCATATGAACCAGTTTCACCTGCAGCTGATATGTGGTCACTTGGTGTAATATGTTATGTAATGTAAGTCTATATAGTTTCTGATATAATTTCTAAAGAAAAGAAACGAGATAGGTGTTTATGTATATTAGTAATAATCTGTAGTTTACTATAACAGAATACGGTTTTGTAATTACTATTACTTTGTCAGTCGATAGCTGTTTTGTCCTAATATAGGACTTCTTAACAGGACGCATCCATTATTCTGCATTGGGGAATCGAGCCATGAAAGTTCTGTGATCTCGACAAATTCCCGCTATACAAATAATTATGATGAGATTTCTGGAATTCTAGTGAAAATCTGTGACCAGTTGTTTTCAATTATCTCGGGCGTGAGACAGTTGTTCACGAAAAGCGATGGATGACTGTTATACAATATCATGAATTGTTGAAAGCCAGACATTAATAACACTGAGTGCGGGCCCAGTGATTTGGAGGTTAGGTTTTGGGCTCAAAAGCGAAATTTCTAGGTTCGGTTCTCGGATGTCGGATCATGGATACACACTCGAGCAGTCCTACGGTAGGACGAGACAGCAGTTCGCCCCTTCCAGGTTTCCAGTTGTGATCTAACCAAGATCAGTTCATAATTTAAACAGTGAAAACATGTTTTGTTCTGTCTTTCGTTCATTTTGTATATTTAATTCGTGTTTTAAAGAAATGCATAGTAAGTACTAGTTATATTGATATTGAGAGTGTGATCCGATCGGTCAAAAATATAATCTAACCCGTGTCAGTAAGTTCAGACTCTCAGGTTGGGGACCATATAGTAACTGGAACTAGTGATTGGAGGCGTTGGATGTCATAATTAAAAATAAGTTTCAACGGCAACAATTTATCCATCCTTTGTCGTCACTTAGATCTTGAGTCTGGAAATTACCTTATACTTTTCTCTTCTGCTAATTCATTCTTTCCTTTGTATTCAGATACACTATGTTTAATTTTTTTACTATTCCGATATTATCACTACTTTTAACGCCCATCTTAACGATTTCATCTCTTTATGTTTTAATGTGGTATGGAAACTTGAACCATTGCATCTATATGCTAGGATCTAGGTTACTTATGACTTACTGACTAACTGACTTTATATCTTGTTTAGTCACAAAAAAATAACTCTGCCAGTATTAACTTCATGCCTTTTGGTGAGGGAACAATGAACTGGACATTTGACAAGTCTCTGCTTACACTAAAGAGACATCGTAACCATTTATGAATTATATATATTCAATCTGTATAGAAACGTTTTTTTAATGAAAGCTTAGAATTGGTTTCATTGACACTGATATATTCACTATTTACATTTAGACTTTGAATCTCACCATTCTATCATATATACCTGACACTCTCTTTTCGAAGTATATTCTTAATGTTTACTTTCTCATCATAATTATTATCATACTGATCAATCTTTTTTTATTATTTCCATCTTGTCGTGTTAATGAGACTTGATAATTTCAACTAACAAACATTTGCGGAGTGCTTTGTATCCCGTGCCCCCCTTTAGATGTGGAAGCCTACATAATCCAGCCAACCACCAGAAGAAAGATAAAAGGGGAGAGCAAGCAGCCTTGTCTGACTCCTGTTTTCAGTAATAACTGAATTTTCATATAGAGCATATGTTGAAACCACTGTTTATCAATGTTTATTCATAACTTATGTTTCTTATCCAAATTACCTATTACCTATTATTAGGCTTTCTGGATTGTCCCCATTTATGGGTGAAAGTCAAGGAGAAACATTAGCTAATATTATACGAGTGAAATACAATTTTGATTATACAGAATTTGCAGAAATTTCAAATGATGCAATGGATTTTATTCGGAAACTTTTAGTGAAAGATCCAAGGTAATTCATACTGACATAACGGATTGTTTAAAAATTTTTTTCTCTCTTACAAAGTATACTACAATGATATGTTATTACGATAATAAGACTAGTTACTTTATATCAGATCCAGGATACACGGCTCAGAATGGAGAACCAAACTGAGTATAAACTAGATAATACTTTATTCAACACAATTACAAGCAGTCACTCTCAATGAGTTCGGAGTAGAAATCAATGAAAAGAAACTTACCTATGCCTATTACCACTCGTGGAGGAGTATAAACAACCCAGAAGTGTTCGCCATCCAACTCTGTCCTGGACAATCCTTTCCAGTTGCTCTTCGTCCCTTCCATGTTTGCTTCCGAATCTCGACACAGCGTTTTCTTTGGCCTTCCACTTTTCCGTTTCTCCTCAGAATTCCAAGTGAAGGATTGCCTCGTGATGCAGTTTGGTGATTCCAGTAATGTGTGTCCTATCCACTTCCAACTTCTTTTCTTAATTTCCTCTTCATCTGGAATCTGGTTTGTTTTCTCCCACAGTAGGCTGTTGCTCATGATATCCGACCAACCAAAATTCCATATCCTGTTTATAAATACTTATACTATTTCGATGATGGTTGTGGTAGTTCTCCAAGTTTTATCTCCGTAGAGTAGAACTGTCTTGACGTTCGTATTGAAGATTCTGACTTTGATATTGTTTGACAATTGTTTTGAGTCCCATATATTCTTTAACTATAGGAATGCTGCCCTTTCTTTGCCAATACTTGCCTTTATATCTGCATCTGATCCTCCTTGTTCATCGATAATGCCTCCCAAGTACGTGAAATTCTCCATCAAATGTGATTAGTTTGGTGTCCTCCGTGTTGTATTTGAGGATCTTGATTTTTTCCTTTGCGCATGTTGAAGCCTACTGATACAGAGACTGCAGCTACACTAGTTGTCTTCATCTGAATTTGTTCGTGTGTATGGGATAGAAGAGCTAGGTCATCTGCAGAATTCAAGTTGTCTAGTTGCATCCCAGCTGTCCAATGTATCTCGTGCTTCCCTTCAGATGTGGAGGCCTTCATAGTCCAGTCAACCACCAGAAAAGAAAGAAGGAAAGTAATCAGCCCTGTCCAACTCCATTCCTCACTTGGAATGCGTCTACCAGCTGTCTTCTGTACACGACTTTGTAGTGTATTCATTCATGATTTTGATTTACTTCTATGGTCAAATAAATCCGTACCACGATTCTTTGTGTTCTCGTTCGATTCAGTGTTCCAGTACAAAGTATATGTCAGTCAAGCATTCTGCAAGCAAAACAAGGACAGAAATAATAATATTTTTTACAGTTAGTGAGTAAATGATCCATATATTTTAGGTAAGTGGCTAAACGAATAGATCACTGGGTTAGATTGTAGCTTCAGCTAATTCAATCCGAACATCTAAATATTATCATTAGCCTTAATATACAAACAAAATAATTGGCAGATTAGACTGATTTGAGTACATAAACTTCTACATTATAGATAAATAATTAATATTTTTAGAAACAAACTATTAACGGGACACAGATTGGATTAAAACACATTACGTGCACGATTGTGTTGGTACACGCTGGTTGGCTGTTTCCTATGTAATCAGCGCTAGTCAATACTTTGAGAACACTCTAGAATCTCATATAGAAACTATAAATATACCAACTTTTTTCCTATTGTGAGTCTTACTTCCATCTACCCCTGTTATTTGGAATATAATTTCGTTCCTGTTCAACCGTGTTCTGATTTGGGGACTTATCGAGTGAATTGGTGTCCAAGAATACTAAGCAATAGGAATAGCTGGGTTGTAATAAGAGAGGATTAAAACACAAACACAGCTATATATCAAGAATAATGTTAAAGTTGACTTACTTGATACTTAAAATGAGACCAATAAAATAGAATTTATATTTCTTTTCATTTTCTATAACATATAGCTATTAATTTCTATTTTCTTTCCTTTATATATATATATATAACATATCATTTCTGTCTTCTTTGTTATGGTTATAGAAAACGAATGACAGCCACTGAATGTTTACAACATCAATGGTTAAAGGTAAATGTTTCATAATGTATAATCCAGTCTATTTTGTAATTAGTAAACAAAAAATATATTAGTATCAGAAGGGGTTTTGTGGATATTATAGTAATTATTTAATAGTTAAGATCATGAGTCAATTGAAGACAGACCACCATGAAAAACCTGAAAGCACTGGGACTTCTCGGTAGTGCGCATCCACGACCCGGCCTCGTGAGATTCGAGGTTTCCAGGTTTTCCATGGTGGCCTAGCTTCAATTGATCTATGTTCTCAACTATTAAAAAAATATTATTTTCGGTAGAAATACTCTACATCATAAACTGATAATTAGATGGAAACTTATTGGAAACAAAGCTTCTCTCTCATATACTTTCTTTACATTGAACGAATCTCTACACTTCATTTAGTCTAGTAGTAATAAGTATTGAATTGTTGTACACTGATGAGGAGTTCAGTAGTACAACAAAATAGCTTCCCAATCAATTTCTGGTTTTCAATAGTTTTCTATTTATTCACTTAGTCATTTGATCATAAGTAACGTAAAAACTGGCAAATATGTGTATGTATCCAGTTCACTACATCGTATTATCAAGATAAATGTCAGAATAGTAAAACCAGTTACTACATCATTTGTATTAGAAAACATTAGGCTTCAAAAATAGGATTCATGAGGAATAAATTCTTGAAATAAAAAGTATAAAACAATCTAGGAGGAGACAAAGAGTGAGCGCATTTACGTTGATTTCGTGCCATGTCATGTGTTATTTACACCAATCGCGCGTGATCAAACAAGGTAGTCTGCACCTACTAATAGTGGCTCAGTCCAACAATCATTAATTTCATGGACTGATGTCTTAAACGAGATACTTACATCCTAGTATTCATGTTTACTTTAAGACTCGTACCCAGTACATTTCATTTCAGACGCTCAACAAGTTATACACTGAGCTGCTAAGTTTGGTTGGTCAATAATTTAATCAATAGACATGATGTTTCTATCATCAGTAATATTTCGAACGATTCCAAAATCTATCTATTCTAATGATGATTTATAATCGGCAAGACCTATTAGCTCTAAATATAAGTTTTAAAAAAGCTGTTCACAATCGAGTTTACTCCTGAAGAGAAAACTTTTGAGACTACAAATATACATAAACATTTTTTTCAAACTACGTTGTATTTCACTTGATATTGTTTTACTTGAATTTTCCCATTGATGTTTTTGGACTGAAATTGATCAGTCTCTTATTGGCATACGTGCATACTGTGCGTATGCCTCGATATTGCCTAAATTTACAAGCATTATAAGCAATGATAAATAGTGGCTAGCAGTGGAATCCAGGACGCTAAGTGTAGCTAAGTGGATAACGCGATGGCGTTTGAAACGAACGGTACTGAGTTCGAGTCCCAGAGTGAACATCAACTCTGAGATGCAGGTACATCCAGCTGACGAGTCCCAAACAGGACGAAACGCGCGTCCTGGATTCCACTGCTAGCCACTATCCATCTTTGCTTATAATGCTTGTAAATTTAGGCAATATCGAGGCATACGCACAGTATGCACATATGCCAATAAGAGACTGATCAATTTCAGTCCAAAAACATCAATGGGAAAATTCAAGTAAAACAATATCAAGTGAATTCAACTTCAACCCATTGTACAAGCAAGTGGCTATCAGGACTCAGTAGCTAAGTGGATAACGCGATGGCGTTTGAAACGAACGGTACTGAGTTCGAGTCCCAGAGTGAACATCAACTCTGAGATGCAGGTACATCCAGCTGACGAGTCCCAAACAGGACGAAACGCGCGTCCTGGATTCCACTGCTAGGCACTATCCATCTTTGCTTATACGTTGTATTTCATTGAAAATCGCCATTTAATGTACACAATTCACTTTACACGGTTGTTCTCTTTGTAATTTCTTTGATCATCTTTTTAATTCTTGACATTTCTTTTCTGAATTCTTTACGTTTTTCTAACAGCAAAAGAAAAAAACACCATCACGTTCTGGAACAGTTAGTAAAAAACGTCTGAAACATTTTGTTTATCGACGTAAATGGCAAGTAAGTGATTGTGTGAAAGAATTAGCATTTTCTTCATTATTTAGTTTGTATATTATGTTCAGTTTGCATGATTTATCAAATATGATGTCCTGTACTATTTATTTTGTAAATAAATATTTTACGTTTGGTGCATATATTGAGATGCTATTCACGATCTGATTGGTAAATAATTTCAGTTAAGGACGTCATTGCTAAAATAGGTGGTTTATGGATATTTTCTAATTTGAAGTTAGTTTGCATCAGGGATTGAAATAAAGTAGACTGCATTGGATAGTCGTTTCATCTAAATTAGAAAATTCTCAGTATTGAGTGTCTGAGCCTTAACATGTAGAGACCGGTCTTCAGTTAATAAGCGACTTATAATCCCATCACTAATCAGTGGTCCACATTTCCTAATTCTGTCTGTTTCTTACGATCATGCAGAGGTGTTAAGTAGCGTGTCATTTTACGTAGTCAAAGATAGTTCCAGTCCTCTCAAGATTGTAGGTGCACCTTGCCGAAGAGTGTCAACTAGCAAGAAACTTAAGTCCCTATTGTCCTACCGGTCACCTCCAACCAAATCAATATAGTCTACGCGATATCAAGTCACTTGGAATATTGATACCATCTCAAAGCTAATTAATAGCAAATAATTATTATTTAACCGAGTGGTTTCTGAAGATTAACTCAGTTTTAAAACGCTTTCCATCACTGACATATATCGGCGAAAAAACTACAAAAAATATGTGTGGCTGTGCCTGAGGTCGTGAGTAAACCATATTCAGGAGTAGCAACACAATAATGAAACAACTGTAAAATACTTTTGATGTTGTATAGCTTTTCAGCTATGAAAGCACTTAGACTTGTATTTTAGGATTGGTTAACAACTAACAACACCAAATACATACGGTAACTTCGAAACATTGATGTCAGTCGTATACAAAAAGCTAAACCTCTTAACCAGTCTTAGGAAAAACAATGAGATTGTAATGAGAGATAAATAATGGCCAACAGTGGAATCTAGGACGCGCGTTTCGTCCTGTTTGGGACTCGTCAGATGAACCCACCATATCCCAAATTTGATTGTCACTGAGGGAATTGAACCCATTACCTTTCTGTTCAAACGCCATCGCGTTATCCACTAAGCTACTAAGTGCAGAGACTGATCAATTATAGTCTTAAACATCAATGGGAAGACCCAAACTATCAATATGTTTGAATCAAAATTACCAATGGAATTGGTTTGAAATCTAGAATTACTAAGAGATTTTCTAGTGTTTTCCTAATTCATGTTATCAGCTGCTGTTTTATTTATCAAATAGAGCTTTCGTATGACAGTTTGATTTTTTTTGCATTTATTCTCTTTTTAGAAAGCAGTAAATGCGATCATAGCATTACAACGTATGGGTGTTGTACTACAACACTCGCCTATAATGCATTCAAGACACCCAAGTCTGTCTATACATGGCATAAATAGATCATTTGAAAATGAAACTAAACGACCTAAACTTCCACAAGTCACTGGACATAAATTATTATCAAATAGCCCAACACCACCCCCAACAGTTAGTAAAGAAAGTTCACCAAAATTAATGAAGAAACCTTCAGGTATATTTAGAAAAACCAGTTTCTTTGGTAAAACACGAAAAGATGACACCACTACTAATAGTACTAGTAATAATGGAACTAAAACTAAAAATAAAGCTAATGAAAACTTATCAGATCCGTCAACATCGCATAAAAATAAATTAGACCTATCACTTAAATTGAAACGTAAAGAGAGTGGTAAAGGTTTTGTTTTGCAACGGCATAAAAATAGTCAACAGTCAATATCATCAGATAGTCCGTCAATTATACCTAAAATTAGTATAACAAGTGAACCAAATTCCAGATCCTCAAGTAAATCGGAAACAGTTGTAGCTATCCCCAAACAACAAAAGGACACTTCTACTTCGTCATCATCTATATTTAAAATTCAGAAAAAAAATAGTGCATCAAAAATAATACAATCAAATGTGAAACAATCAAATCCTTTCATTGTAAAAGATAAAAAATCCTCCACATCAACATCACCGTTACCACCAATCTCAACCTCTAATCCTCCACTAACAAAATCAATAGAGAATACAACCAATGAAAAAGAGAAATTATCAATTGGTAAAACAAAAACAACATTGAACACAACTGATACTACTAACAATCTTATTAGTAGTCATAGTAAAACAACAGATACAACAACTGTTAATACACATCATAATTTTCATAAAGTTCCAACAAAATCAAAAAATGCAACATCCATTACAAAATCAGATATTGCCCTAAAAATTAATTTCTTTTCAAATTTATCTAAAGAAGGAAAAGTTAAGTGATCATTGTACAGTGATTCTATTCTCTACTTTTGCATGTTTTATTTGTCTATTTGTAAAGTATTCTTCTTCTTCTTCTGGGTTTTATGAAATATATTGTTGTGTTGTTCTTTCCATTTCATCTTCATTTGTCCATGTTTTGTATGTATGTATGTGTGTAAGTAAGTAGTTAGGTAGGTAACAAGAGTTCAAATTTACTTCAATAAAGGAATTATTTCATATTTCAATAATGAAACCATACAAAATAGGTTTTGTTACGAAAAATCTGATATACTTAATAATAAACAAATAAAAAATAAATAAAAAAATTTTCTACATATCAATTTAATCATCCTAAATGATTGATATTTATAATAAAAAAACCTGTCCCTTTTTTTCTGGTTTTATTTTATTTTGTTGTCAAGGTGTTCATTATCTAATGAAAATTATATAATTATTCACTAATAATATCACATATATTAACTTCTCATGTTCATAGTTACTAAGATAATAATATTGTACCTTCATAGATTTTCTCAATAAGGATCAGTTTGTTTGTTTGTTTTTTAAATGAAATAAATCTAAAAAAAATATTATAATCATACGGGGTTTTTTTGTCTCAAACTGTACAAAAGCTCATTATTCAAATGAATGTCAAAAACAAAACAATCATTCTTCTGTTATTGTTTTATCTTTCATTAAAGTATAAAACAATAAAGATTACATCATCAATAAGTTAATAAACATCATGTTTTTGTCTTGTTTTGGTTACTTACAACTTACTATTTCATTATTTTTCATCTATTTCATTTTATCTATATAAAAAAGAATTATTATTTGAAATAAAATATTAAGAAAAAACGATAACTTAAATAAGATGATGAATTGGTTTTGGAAACAATTTCTATGTTGAGATTATTGTCATTTGTCAAGGGATTTGATTTGAAGAATGCTAAATTTAAAGTGGTTACGAGTTTACTTAATCTGCGAATGAAACAAAGATTTGTGACCAAAGACTAATAAGATAGCTATTCTATTGCGTCTCAGCCCTGCTAATTAGAGACAGAAGTCGAAATCCGAATGGGGAAGCATATTCTACAAAAAGCCAGAAGAACGAGCGATAACAACAGACACTAATCAAAATATATATATACAGCACAAAACCGTCTTTCGGAAATGTTATAAAATAGAATACTAAAAGACATAACGAACCAATAGCATTTAAGATTCTCTCAAGTGGGAAATACATGAAAGTGAATGCTATAACTTGTGACCTGTGTTCCCTGTTAATGTATAACGTAACGATACCTCCAATTAGAGAGCAGTGACTTATCGATCCGATCAATGACGTGTAAACCTATATGAGCAGTCTAGAGTCCTTATTGACCCTGCTTCGTGCCTAGCCCAGCCATTTAAGTCCAGAACACCAATTTCAGCCTCTACAATATGAATCATTTATTTCAAATATACTCGGTTTTTATATATCAACCAGACAGACCACATCGTACCAATAAAATAGGAAACAACATTTATACGAGATTTGGCCCAAGGTGGCTGTGAATGAGGGAGGTAGTAATTAATAGACAGGGCATAATTCAAGAATAGTAAATCGTATAATAGTAGTCTATGGGTCAAAACAAAGCTCATAATAAGAGGGACATCAATATGAATAGTTTAGTTATTTAACAATCATACGATAAAAATATACACATAGTATTGGTGCACAAATGGATCCCATTATGGATTCATTATGCTTATCGGGACATAACAGTGAAAAGAGCGCTTTTGGCGCGAAAAGGGATTCAAATTTTCAAAATAAAATTACAAAATTAGGTCCTTTTTCAAGTGAGTTCTGGGGACCTAACGGCTCCAAAAAAGAAATATCATCTAAACAATAATACTAGTTCCTTTGCTGATCTTTTAACTATGTTATCTCACTCACACATTACTATGTAGCTAGTATATATTGATATGATAATCCCATCCCTTTTGTAACTGGTTTCTGATGTACACTGTATATATTTGTAGTCGTGAATAGCCCACTAAAATGAACAATTTTTTAACCATTCAACAGTGATACTAACTTTACCAAGCTGGTGTTTAGTTAAGAATCACTTCTTATTTATTTGAACATAAATATTGGTACAAAGGAGCACCGAATTCATATGCGCCACACAAGTCACTCGATTTGTTTGTGGGCTATGACACTGCCCGGGTGCTAAACCGAAGCAGATGGTTTTCTTAGAGGGTCACATCCTGAGCCTCTGACCTAAAGGTCTGACCCACAAGGCAGTGGAGCAACGTCAGGAGGAGCCATCCCATGATAGCCGGTGATCAACAATAGGTCCATACACCATTTGTTCCACCAGGTCCCTGGAGCTCATGTGCACCACTGGTTCGGAATCAGAGTTTTTCAAATTTCCTAGGTGGAGCCCCCATATTCATCAACCCAGTCAAAGAGTCGGACATTCGCTCTTCGTCCTCTCAATTCCGTAAACAACACGCCTGCTGTGAAAAGGCAGTGGGTAGGACTTTCCTCGCAGTGGCTGTAAACGCATGGCCATGTGAGAGCATTTCGAGAGGGAGAGCGGACTCTCCCACCCTCGGTCGTACAAGGGCATTTGAGGGTTAGGTATCACTGTCAGATTATAGTACGGCCTGACATGAAACACTTATCCTATGATAAATAGCTGGTTTGGAAGTCCCATATTTACCGAACTTCGCACACAATCAAAAATAACCTACCTAACAACCATTATCACATTATCCTTTGTCTGCCTGTAAGTCAATTCGTTAGAAGATATATGGGTGCCAGTATTATCTGACGTCGTATACAGAGTATTTTTTCACGTACGTATGTGGTATTTAAACATTTTTTCAATAACCTGACCCATTCGGAGTCATGGAAACCTAAACCTTCATTAAATAAATTACGTTCAGTTCAGTTGCAATATATTTGTATGTACCATAAGTGTTTTAAATACTAAGCTATCGTTAGATATTGAAAGTCGAGTTATCACCTCAATCAATTACAGAGATAAATTTAAGAGACTATCACTCAACCAAAAGTGTTTAGTTACAAAGCGATTTAGAGGTTAGAAGTTTTAGGGTTAGTATATGTATGTAGAGTAAGTGAATAATTTTCAGTCACAAAAACACCCTTGACCATGCCCTGAATCACATGAAGTACGTCCAGAAATAATCTGTATTAGATACAGGTATTTCTTGTGATTTCGCCAACGCAATATGTTACATTCTCTGTGTGGTTGGAACAAAGATAATTTTTACAATTTTAACCATTCTAGGAACTAATTATCAGCAACTTTTTCTTATTTTTCAATAAGATACCTGCTATACTTCAATAAGGTTTGAATCTTGCACGAAATTCGATAAACGACATCTTTTAATATGACCAGTTCCCTGAAGGTCGTCACTACAACATAGTTTTGTCGACTACTTATCAAAATAGATACATTGTAATCAGTATACACACATCCAGACATGATAATAGTACATCTCAGTTCATGTGGATAAAGCACAAGAACAGAATGATTACAAAGTATGCTTTACGGTATAAATTTAATCTTTTCCATTTGTAATTCTTTGAACTTCACACTCATTATCAATGTTAGCTTTATGCTCTAAAACGACAACAAAACCATAAAAAAGGAAACAGTTAGATTACTATAATACATAATATACAGATATGCAGTAATACAATATCAGCATGTTATTTTGATCCTCTGGTTTTCAGCTTCTTTGCAATTGAACTAAGCGGGGCAACATGAAAACCTTCGGGCCTGAAAGAATTTTTTGAAAGAAAATATCACTCAGAATATATGTAAGTAACATGGAATAGCATTACCGTATACATATACTACACTTTAGATTTCGCATTAATGTAATAGTAATTTAATGACGAAGAATTGTGAGGAATACCAATCGTTATAGTTAAATTAAGATTAAGTCACATAACTGACAATGAATTTAAATATTTATTCATGAGAAATTATTTAATAAACGGGGTCTGTGAAGATTGTTAAATTTTATCTTTTACATCACGGAGTGATCTTAGTTAGGAAGCATTGGAGTTTTTCCGAACTGGTATGGAACTACTTATTAGTGTGCATAAATGAAGCCACTGGGAATCTAACCCAGGACCTACAGGTTTCGAGGTGACCAATTTTTGGACCACTGAGTCAGGTTTACATTCTTAGCTTCAATGAATCCACGATATCGCATGACAATTTTCTAATTTCTCACATCCGACATAATTAAAATCCACTAGTCAACCGTCGATATTAGTTGCTAGTGAGCATATGGTTATTCCAATAGATTTACAAATATGAATATGGATTTTACAAACTAAACCAATGCGTCTTAGTAGACAAATAAACATTTATGTATTAAGTTTTACGTCGAACTTTTGTACATGAGGGGAGGGGGTGGAGACACTGCTTGAGTGATGTAAAACTTTGACCCAAGTCATTATTTTAATCATTAGGTCAAAGTGAACTGACAATCATTGAATGAAGATCAGAGAAAACACAAAAAGACACCTGAAATATTGATATAAAGCTTATTGCGAAGACAACTAGTAAGTTTCATTGGTACAGAAGTTAATAGACTGTGTTGCTCATGTAAAATCACTATGTACGCCAATGCGTTACATCAACTGAAGTATGTTGGGAAAGTGTTAATGATAAATTCGACTGATGTTTTCTTCTGTGTCAGCTTCTGAGCTCATGTCAATTTGTCTACTTATACAATTTTTATCAACTAATTTTCAGTGAAAAAATAAACATGTACTAATTTAATAGACTTAAAGATGTTTTTCAAATGTAGAGTGAATAATCTTCTTAATTAACAATTTCCGAAAATAACCAATATTTTATTTTCAATCAATTTGAACTACGTTAACTTCAGAGCCTTTTCAAACGGATTCATAAGTACCAGACATTTGCATGGTTTTCTGAACTACTTACATTTAAAAACAATTGATTTTATAGGGTCTGACCCAAAACAAGCAAATAAAATAGCAACCGACATAAAATACAATTCTATAGGCGACTAACCAATCAAAAAGTTTAGGAAATTCATTAAGTTCTTCAGTAGAGTATTCATCAAGACGTTTTGGTACTTTCATAACTTGTGGTATTACTCCTGAAATATTTGCAATAATGTCCTTGGGAATAGTCTAAATTCAATAACTAGTTTTCAATTACTAATCAATACTTCAATATTATCAGGGTATATATGAAGACGAGATAATTGATATTTACGGGATTCATTATTTCGTAAGACGGCTTTAATTTCTAAACGAATAACCTGAGACGATAAAAAAAAACAAGGAATTCATAAACATAAGTAGATAGAAATCTCAACTTAACATAAACTAGATAGGGCTTACTATTTTATAGAGTAGTTGGTTAAGATTAAATTTAATAAAATGACTTTTCAAGTAAAAATAGAAAAGTGACTGGTGAGGTGGTGGCTCAGTGGTTAATGTGTTAGAATTTCAGACATTCGGTCCCAGGTAGTAATCAAATGGTAGAACTAGCCCTCAATACCTAAAAAAATGATTGAAGCCAATTAAACGAATATTTCTGATAAGTATTACAATAATAGTACCAAGTAGCGGGAAATAAATAGGTGTCTAATTGTTTGTCTGAATAAGTACTGAGTGAAGATTTGTAGATTAAACTATGAGTCATATTTTCCGTCAGGAACAACGGCGTTAATTAACAGTGATCAAGATAAAAGGTTTCGACAAACTGATTCGAGATTATTCTTAATAGAGATGTTAGTGTGACTAATTAGGTTCTTAAAAAGCTGATATTTTTATAGTTTTTAGAAGACGTAAGCCCAACCAATCACCTTAAGAAAGAAGGCCAGCAAAGGTCAATACACAAAATATCTAAGTTTTACCGATAATACAAGTAATAATAGTAACAACAGAATAGTGTCAACGTTTAATTGCAGCTAAATACAAAACGATAACAACTTTGATGAGGTCCGAACTAGTATATGTAATTCTAAAGATCCCACTTTATACCATAACCTCGTTGATCGCCTAAGATAGCATAATCTAAAGTATCAAATTACGTAGGTAGTAGGAATTCCATGTGTAGATGATGTATAGTAATTAGTATGATTCAGGATTTTGCTACGAAACTTTATTGTTACGTTTGGTATGTACTTTTAATAATAAGTATATGTATACGAAGATCGCGAAGGATTGGACCTTAAACGTTCCAAACTTTGAGAAATATTGTTCATAAACCAAGATTGATAAACAGCATTTGCTCGTCTATTAACAGTACAATTACAAAGTCTCTGACATAACATCAATAAACAGAAACTGAGTTACCACAACTATTAATTAAAATACTTCAACATCACATTTAAAAGCACTAGGAACCAAACTGGCGAAAACCTTATAATTTGCACACATTATTTCTCTACTACTATTACTATGCGTATATTATCTAACCTGCAATTAGTTGCTTCACTTATCACGTATTGTGTTTCTAGATCCAAGGGTTATGAAGTCTTTAATTTCCATACTTAACTACATCCAAATGTATTATATACATATATAGGAGAAAACTCCAGGATGCTTTTATTGATTCTGATACTGAGAACAGAAATGAGCGTCACAATAAAAAACAGACAAATAACCCATGGTTTTCAGTGTTTAAAAGACTTATTTTAGTATTAAAAAATACCTGTGATGTGAAGGCATTTCAAACTTTATATTTTATAAGAGATAACTTGGAATAATTAAGGAAGATTCCAGTGTTGAAGGCTTGACGTAGTGTTCAGACCGATTATCGGAAATGCATGTAGTAGTCTAGTTAACGTCTTGGTGATGCATGAACATCTACTTAAGAGCAAGTACTTATACGGCTACTGTGGTATTGCAGGCTTAGAAAGTAGTAATTTAGACGACTTTCACTTCATAATACTGACACTAGTAGATACTAATAAAATTTCACAGTAATGTGGCCGGATGGAACATTTAGAAGTCAAAGGATGTCATCAATAGTCCAGTCTGATGCCAGATATAAGAATCTGATAGGTAACTGCTGTTTTGATAGGCTGATTAGTATAATCGTTAAAGTACTGAAAGAGCCTAGCATATGAAGTAAAGCAATCTTTGATCAATGAATATGACTTTAGAAAAGATCGCTCCTGTTTAATTAGTATTACTGCAAGAAGTTGCGCAATAACTAAGGGTAGGAATGCATTTCTGCATGTAGTATATATATATATATATATATATATATATATATATATATATATATATATATATAAGTAGACCGATTGATTGCTTGATAGTGTTAAGCTTATAATAAAGATGTGAAAATTATGAGCTGTCAGACTGAAGTGATAGAGGATAAAATGAAAAAAGTAGCATGTTGTCCTGGTGGGAACTAGTGTTAAGTGAAGTGACTTAAAATATTAACTGGACCATTTTCTTTTTCCAATTCACTGAGGAGTATAAATCACTTAAGATATCTGACAGTGATGTAAAAGTATGAAAAATGATGCGTAGTAAAAACAAATCAAAGTTCAGGGCTGACTAGGTGGTCTAACATACAATAACTAGTGGGGTAATGTTGATTAGCGGAGAGGCGTAGTGTAAATGACCATGATTCACACCATTTCATAGTTAATGAGGAGTTTCTATCAAGAATTGTATATTAAAAGGAGCCGAAAGCCACTGTAAGTTATAAACTCAACTGAGAAGTGAAATATCCCGAGTCAGTTAATTGATGTACCTATTTTGTCATTGACAAATAAGTATAATGATTAAACTCAGTAAGGTCGATAAATAATAGAATGCATAACTTTACAAAACTACTGACAGATTAAACACTGTCATTTAGTATGCATGAATTAAAACTACTTGTAAGTTCACAATTATCTATCTACCTCAGTAGGATCACGCCTGTGAACTTCCTCCATTGTTTCTTCAACACGATTCACAGGGAACCTATAGTAAAAACTCCGCATCAAAAAGTACAAACCTTGTATGTGTAGTGTATAAGAACCGTTTCCAATATCGACTATTATCTTTTGCAGCAATGTGTCTAGAATTGATCACAACAACATGACTCCCAAAGTCGGCTAGAAATAAAGACACAATATTAACGTACCACTAGGGTCATAGTACCGGATATTCTTTCCCGTCAAATACTTCGCAATTCTTTCGGCCGAGAGCATAGGGCACTGCATGAAAGAGTCATAAATGAGCCATTCTCTAGCAAACGCCCTCCATTGCTAAGGTTTATGACTTAGGAAAATAGAATACGTACCAAAACCCTCCAATGTGACATTAGCTACTAAAATAGCGCAGGAATTGATTTTTTACACACTGTCAATCGTCCGAATGGTTCAATTGGTTCTGGACGGAATCGAAGAAGCTTTCGCCTACCGGGCTTCCGTATCTAGTAGAGGTGGATCACTGATGCCTGCAGGTGAGAAAGTAGGTAGTCCTTAAGAATATGTCAAGGTTTATCTTGGAGGACTACTGGGAAGTTGCTTGGACTAGCTCAGTCTGCAGCGAATTACAGTATTTGACTACTCTTAAGGAGTAGAAAACGTGCTTCCAGCTCGTTCTACTGTGTCTTGTCTCCAGTTTCTGGGTGTGAACCCTAAGTTTTTTCATTGGGACTAAGCTTAGGTTGGTGTTTAAGGGGATGCCCAGGCGTATATGAAATGCTGTAAATCATTAGGTCACCCGTAAGATGCTTGTATTCTTATGGGTAAAAGTTCAGTGATTGAAGGCTTTGTTCATAAGACTCGAATTTGAGTCTCCGAATTGATTTCATGACTCGCCGTTAGATACGTTCTAGTTTATCCTTGTCCTTTTGGAGTGAGGGAGGAAACGCTATGTTCCAAACACTAAATAAGATCGAATAAAGCTGTTGAAGGTTATGTGGAAAGTTCTTCTTTCCAACAAGCCAAAAATGCACTTCAACATTACTAGTGCACGGTTTTCTCGAAAGGCATTTTTGTCGCAGTTAGTGTAAGACTTCGGATCGTAGGGTACCAACACTCCTAGATCTTTTGCAAACTAGGACACCTCTAGGGGGAGTTACCTATGTTGTATTCATAGTCTGCGACATATCTCAAATGGACTATTTTACACTTTGAAGTGTTAAAGGTAAGTCTGTTGTTGTCTGCCCAACTTTGAGGTCGCGTCAGATTCTCCTGAAGTTCCACTTACATTTTTGGTTCCAAACTTTTCTCCAATTTCACATAATCAGCAAAGAGTGATGGATCTGACGGTACCTGCAGTGGAAGACCCTAGTACCAAACACTGGAGGACCACAGTAGGACATTCCATAGCCTTAGAGAACGTGAAGTTAACTCTGATATTAAAAAGGCGGTTATTTAGGTGTGAAGTGAGACTAATCGTTTGAGATTACTGATAAGACATATATATAGCTGACCCTATCAAAAGCCTTTGTGAAGCCAAGGTATATGACATCAACCTTCAACCTACGATGGAGAAAGGTTGTCCATCTGTTCCCCACGGTCAGCGGATTAGTTATACGAGCGACATTTGTTGAAACCGTGTTACTGGGAAGAAAAGACGTTTGTTGATAGTAATTAGTCACGTAGACTATCGCATTTCAGGGCCTCCATAATTTTTGAGGGTATTGAGTGAAGTTCTACTGGCCTTGAGGACTACTTTATGAATTTCCAATCCAGAGTATCAGAGTTCCCGCGGCCAGATGATGACGATGATATTCCTGCCTCGAAAGAACATCTCAAGAGATTCTTTCGGGATGTCCCTGATGAGATTGCGCTCGGAATATGGCATTTCAGGGAAAATTCTTACATTCCCTTCCGATTTCACCAGATAAATAGCCAGTAGGATTTCCTCTACGCCATCAGTGCCGGGGAACGTTAAATGAAGGAGTTTGGGGTGGTTCTAGTGTTAGGAGTCCGTCCTCCCAGTGAGCCGCGTAACCACCAGTGACTCAGATTTGGGGAGTTTGAGCTTCTTGTCCAACGTTTCCCAGAACATCCTGTCTTCTTTTCCTGCAGACTGAGAGGAAGGTCAGAGCTATGTTTATGCCCATGATCATAAGGAAATCAAGTGACAGTGAGGTGGCATCTGAGTCGTTTGCATGAATCCTTCATGATCACGGTGATATGTGAGGTGTTAGATTGGTCCGAGCGAGTTTATGACCGTAAAACAAACAAAACATACGCTTAAAAAGGATAGACAAAAACGGGTGGTACAAGACTTTATGATATACTAAAACTAGCTTTGTTGTGGAAAACTGTAAATCCTGATTGACAAGCTGAGGCAAAACCACTCTCAACTATTAGCTTGTGTAAAACTTAAAAACATTAAGCTCAGGAAAGATCCTTTTGCTAGAAATGGTACTTTTCGTTACGTAAGGACATAGAAAATGTTCGTGAAGTAAACAAATCTGTCTCCCAAATTTAATTTCAAATCGAACAGCTGAAGATCAAGTTATCACGAATAAATATTATAAATATGACAAAGTGAACACTAAGGCAATTTTAAGGAATTTAGATAAAATTCCATTGTTTTACAAATAATTTTAATCGTCAGACAAAATACAATCGATACCTAAATGTATGATGACGCCCCGACTCCGTTTACAGTTTGGTTAGAACAGAAACCTAAACCGCCTGTATTTGTTATGATGATTGACCTAGCCTTCCTTCAAATGCTTATCACGGAGAAACTGTAATCTTGTGGTGTGAAGCTGTCTCGTGAAATGAGAATTCAAGGAGAAGGTCAGTAGTCGAAAACGCGGTTGATCCGTGGCTAGAAAAGTGGTCTGTGTGATTACTTCAGGAAAGAAAGAGGGGTTGTCATATGTTTATTTCTTACTATGTAGTTCAAAATGACCAAGTTACTAGTCCAGATATATATGTACAGACTTAATCCCGCTAATCGCTCTTCAGATAGATTATAAAGTAATCTTAGGACCAGTTCGTCTGTAGCATTTTGAACGTTTTCCAGCAAGACGCTGTCTTTTCAGTAGCGGACTAATGGCTTGTATACAATATTTGATTTTTGTGTGAACGGAATTGTTAGTGGCGTTATAAATTGATTGCTATTTACGTGGTTGAATGCCATCCTACATAACGTTTATTGGTTGCGATGTAACACTATCATATCACTCAATCATGGTAGACAAACATTAATTTTGCTGATTAGTAGGTATCCAATTGTTTGCAGCGACAGATTAGTGCTAAAAATTGTCACCGGTAGTGGATTAATTAGTTCATAGAACCGATGTCTACAGTCTGATCATATTTCGTCTTTTTAATTTATCTTGGTTGTCTCTTTAGACATATATTTGCATGACAAGGTCTAATGAATCAATTAAACTGTTCCAAGGAAAAGATGACAAGGGTACATGGTAATTGTAAGTTAATATGTAGGTTATTGAACATCAATGTTTGTGACTTAAGACAATATTGAGGTAATCCGTACATGATGCATATACACTAATAACAGACTGGTCAATTGCAGTCCTAAACATCAATAGGAAGATTCAGACAAATACAAAATGAGTTTAAACTTCACTCCATCGCACATGCTAGTGGCTATCAGGACTCAGTAGCTAAGTGAATAATGCGACGACGTGTCAGGATGACGGTACTGCGTTCGAGCGATGGAGTGAACATCAACTCTGCGATGCATGTACATCCTGCTATCGAGTCCCAAATGGGACGAAATGTGCTGTGGATCACCAAAGTAGATGATCTATGTCAAATGACCGGAGGCCTACTCAAGTTAGACGGGAATGGTGTGACGAACCAGCTAACATCGAAGTTACACCTCGTAGTCAGCACCTTACGTGGACTACCCCATTGACGTATCACGGTACTATAGATGCTTTGAAGACTGTACAACGCATAGGACGTTATTACAGAAATATATCAGGTAAAGTAGATACAGGCGAAAGTAAGACCACCGCCGCATGAACCAGTCCATGGCGTACTATTAACTGATGCACGTTTCTTGTCCTTGACCTTGACCAGGATCGATGATTTGTTCGATATTCACTGACTTAACTGCAGGATGATTTGGCTAGGGCTCAGTGAAATTTCACTGGACCTACAGTGCGTCCGGAATTTTAGCGCCAGCTTCCATCCCACTTTGCTTATAATGTTTACTGAAGAGTTAATCCAATTAAACAGACTGAATAATGGTATTTCATGCCTCTCACTGCCTCGAAGGAATCACTTTCATCATAGTCAGGGTTTTGATTATGAGATACGTCTAGTTTTATCTAATGCATTCAGTCTGATGACCTTGAGTTGTTTTGTTTGGTGGCGTTTGCTGGGACGTTTTCAATTCAAAGGTACAAGATGTTTAACTTGACTGTGGGCGCGATCGATGTAAGGGCACACTTTGTTTCTAGTTCTTGCATAGGCAATAAATAACGGCAAAAATGTTGAGGAGCCAGTTCTCAAACTATTGGTAGCTTATAATTTCCATCATAACTTGTCAGGGGTTCAAAAGTGTCCCAGGTGGTGGGGGTGGTCAGAATCGTTATCGATTACTGCTCACTGACGGCGTAAAAACTCATTCATGTAGGTTTTGAATTTTTAACCACTGCCTATAGTCGCCATGCTCGCCACACAGTTAAACCATTTGATTGATGAAAACAAACTGGTCAACAATACTGTAATCCGCGTTAGGAAACATGTTTGTAATAACATTCAAAATAATAAGTATATTCCTTCTGTCAAAGTAACTGGTTTCTAGAGTTGTCCTCATTGTTTTGGATCTTGATATACTTGGGACGGATGATTCGTCAGGTAAGTTGACATTTTACAACAATGCGTTAGCTTATGTTCACAGTTTCGCTATCTTCTGTTGCTATTATTGTGATATCACAATTCTACATATGGTTTACATATCTAGGTGGTTCTTGATTCGAGAAGCCTGATGGTTTTCCAGCCACCTCTGGCTCAATTAGGTGCGTCTTCAATGATTGTCTAAACCAAAGGTGACATTAATGCTTTAAGTCCCAGTCTGAGTTGTAATGACCGTTATCAATTCCCTAATTTTATCCTCACAATAATCACGAGCCGTGTCGGACCAGGCGGAAAATCATTAGTTTATGGTTAAATGTATTTGTTCTTTTTCAGATTTCGAGTTTTAGTATTTTTCCGTCAAACATTTTCCCGCTGGTTTATAATTGTACTCATTGCAAATAGTTTTCTATTTTCGCACATACAATAATGACTGTCTATGCGCCTTTCTTGATATATTCTTGCCAATGTATTGCGGGAGCTTGGTCCATTGCACATTTGTACCAGATGATGCGTTGTCTATAATTGACTATCATAATTAGTCCATATTGGTCACAGATATGTAAAATAACCTGGTTTACATGTTGATGATGGGGTCAGTTTTCCCACTATGATCCTCGTTGAAAAAGCCTTGGAACGATGTATGTCTCCCAAAAGGTTTTCAGAAATTTGGAAACGATGTACAAGTTACCAAATGCAGGTTGATGTTCTTATCTTGCCTGGCTTGTAGTAGTCGAGTGTACGGATAGTCACGAAAGACGTTTTGAGGTTGTTCTACTCCCGTACTAAAATGTCTTCACAGTCTTATAGTCCAAGGATGCATCATTGGATTTAAGTATAGGGTTCCAAATAGTAAGAGCAGGTAAGTAAGCTGTAAACCTTCATCCACCTGCATATAAAAATCGTCACCCTACTAAGCATATGATGGTTGGAGGAGGTATAAGTTAAAATAAGCGCGATGATCTAGCCATGACTTTAAACCAGTCTGTTATATCATAATCAGTCATCATTAATGTATAGTTTATGTTTTCACAAATCATCAATATAAAAGAACTTAAAGTTCCTGAATGATTATGCTAATAGAGTATGTTAATTGGAATAGCTAGGCTATAGGAAGAGATCGATCTCTTTGATGCATTCAGCTCCAAATAATTCCCGAAATCATTTTATTACACATCTTTACTTCCTCCTCATGTTTCAGCTTTTTTTAAATATCATTACCTATCTTTTTTACCTTTGTTTTGGTTTCAGTTCTTCCACATAAAGCGCAAAAGACTTGCATATAGTTTTAACTGGTTTTTACTTTCATTCGTCTGCTAGTAATCCATAGTAACTGTCGATCCTACTATAATTATTCTATATTGTATGCCATATGTTGTCCTGGAGTGTTAAACAACTTTCTTGTCACGAGCTAACTATGGATTGTCAACAATGACCAAAAACTAATGATCTTAGAATTTACATTCAGCAAATGCACGTTTTAATCTGAAAAGCTAAAATCATGGTGTTGGGTACACTAATTACAAGTGATGGACTGTTCGATCAATACTTTCATATTCATTATATTAGTGCAACTAAAGTTTCTCAATTAGTTGCTCTTTTTACTTTATTACCAAATTCACCACTGTAGTTCAGTTTGCTTAAGAGTCCTTTTCCTCATATGATTAAACCAGTAAATTTTATTGCAAGCCACAGAAAACGATTGTCATAGTTATCATAAGTCGACTACTTATGCGATTAGTTTCTGATGAACCATTAACTGATTTGTGGTTTTCCACTATGTTCGGCGTAGTTCGATGTCACAATATGTGTTTCTTGATTTTAAGGAAAGTAATTGAGTGCCATGACAACCATATTTTTAATGTAACACATCGAATGCATATTCTTACGCGGTTTCAAACTATTGCTTATTTGAGGACTAGTAATAGTGCACTTTTGCCCAGATTCAGGCAGATACTACTAAGTGATGTAGTCAGTAACCTCCTGATCCACACAAGCGGATAATAAAAATTTCTTTACTACTAGACGAAAACTTCCAAATACTGTAAAATCTGATTACATTGTGGTATATGGAGGTTTATTGGCCGAAACTCATATATCCGATGTGATTTCAGCAATAACTATTGTTAGCTGGAAGTGTAACCAATTATTTCAAGTTTCCTTAATTTTAGTGATAAGTGATTTAATATTTAGTACTTTTTCTGTTTATTAAGGTGGTTTGAAGTCCGAACAGCCACCCACGGTAGCCAAACCAGCCACGACCACATCTCATTCAGTTGAACCTGAACAGAAAACTCCACCCAAATCTTCTACAGGTCCTTTCTCTGGTGGTCAACCAAGTACTCCTGGAACACCAGGTTGTGGGCTCCCACGTGTATTTCCCATACAAAGCCTCAATCCGTATCAAATAGATGGACTATACGTGCTCGTGTATCACAGAAATCAGCTATCCGAACTTGGAGCAAACAAGGTCGTGATGGAAAGTTATTCAACTTTACACTAGTCGATGAAAGCGGTGAAATCCGTGTAACTGGATTCAATGCTGAAGTGGATAAATTTTATGACATGATTGAGGTAAGTAACAGTTGTCATTTGGGTAAACATCTGAATCAGTTCATTCATCGATTCATTTCTAACGTTTATTTAAAACAGAATCTCCAATAGGCTGCATTATTTGTAGTACTGGTAGTGTCTCAATAAATACATATCATTAATCATCACAGATTTTTGAGATGATTGCAATCACTGACCACAAATATTCGAATACTTCAAACTTAAGTTTAGTTGGTCTCTCTACAGGTCCTCAACGCACCATTTCCTACTTCCTGTTAAAGGAATTCAGAAGACTACATTTTATAAGCGTTGTCACTTGATTTTACTGTATGGTATTCATATATCAAATCACTTAATCGACCTCAGATTGAAAAATCAGTCCAGGAAATGCAAAGGAATAATTTTTATACTTAAAGAAAATTGTGTGAAACTGTTAGTAATAGATGTCATTATTTGTTCTGGGCTCGAATACCAACTACTGACTAGTTCCTTTATGGTGTAAGCGAAAAATTTCCATGTTGAGGTATACATTTTCGAATATTTCTGACAGGAAATCTGCTGCGTACAAGGCTTTTTGATTGGCGGGTTCAAGTACTATCACTAAGTGGTAACATATGCACAGTTTAATATGTTAGTATTAAAGAAGATCTGAATCACACACTTCTATTTCTAAAACTCGCTCAGTTCTCGTGATTTCGTCCCCCTCATCTTTTAGTTAGGAATCGAATAATTGCTAATTGTAGGATTATAGGGATTATGTAATTGAGTTTGGTTCTTTTTCTGCATGAAGTTTATACTGTGTTTGAATGACTGCCATAATTCAAAGATTGGATGTAGATTTGGTCATCTACAGATAGGTTTAAGTACCTTTTTGTTAAGATCATATACCCCTGTTTGACCGGCTTGTAGATCCGTCTTGGTTTCATTGAAATGATCTAATGGAAAGCTAACACGTTGATTATTATTATCGTCTTTCTAGTCGATCCGATAATTCTTACATAGTAATGTAACACATTCACATCTTGTGTAAAAATAGAACTCATTCAGTTTGTTGATAGTAGTATTTATTTAGACCATTTACTATGTACGGATTCCTGTAGTTAGTTGACTTTGAACCAGATCTTAGATTTGAGGGTTAGTGACTCTATCCATTCTCTCAGACTGGTGAAGTGGGGCTTGGACCTCGGATTTGTTATCTGAAAGTCGAATTCATGATCATTGATCCACTGCTCTAGGTTGACACTAAATCTATTCGTTAAGCATTCTTAAATTAATTTTTACTTGTTGTTCTGTGTTCCTATATCACCTTTTCTATAGGTCAATAAAGTGTACTACGTCAGTCGAGCAAACCTGAAAGCCGCTAATAAACAATTCAATACAACTAATAACGATTACGAAATGACACTTCATAGCGATAGTCAAGTGTTGCCTTGTGAAGATTCAGATACTAGTTCTTTGCCAGAAACTCACTTCAATTTTATTTCAATAGGAAAGTTAGATACACAATCTCCTGGATCTTTTGTTGGTAAGGGATGATTTTTTCTTCTATAATTATCAAATTCGAAAAAAAGCGTATTAGAGACACGAATAAGTACTATTGTACTTCTTAGTGTGTATATGAACAGCTCTTAATCTATTAATGTATTTGTAACCTTTCTCTTATATTAAAAAAATATTATGAATTGTTTTGCACTTAATTTAACACCTAGATATTGTTGGAGTTGTACATGAATGCGGTGAAGCACAAACAATTACTGCCAAAGCATCTCAACGTGAACTACGTAAACGTGAATTAGGATTAGTGGATAGTTCTAACTGTCTAGTACGTCTTACACTATGGGTGAAGAAGCGGAGAATTTCGATGGTGCAAGTCATCCTGTCATAGTTATAAAAGCGGCAAAAATATCTGATTTTAATGGTATGTTATTCCTGAAACATTTTTTAAATCTGTGATTTGATAACTTTATGGCTTGAGAGAATTGCACTTAATACTACATGTACTCGTTTTACGTAGTATTCCTCATTCATTATAATGTTATGCAAAAATGCTAATCAATTATATTTCGGTACTGTCATGCACTATTTGATCTTACTGGGTTTTTATATATTGTTATTCAATGAATAAAATGCTAGGCTTTTTTCACTATGAGCTAAAGTTCAGGAAAATTCGTGATTGCTCTTAGTGACTCGTCTTAATGTGTTTCAAAATCGAGAATGTCGTCCAAAGTTCTATTACATTATAAAGGTCAACGTAGAAGTATTTAGTACATAGCCATAATTGTATGAAAATCGATGATCTGGCTCTTTTCTTTGAACACATAGATATTGGTACAAGGGCGCACTGAATACATATACTTCACACTTCATCATTCAATTTGTGAGGACTGTAATAGTACCCGGGTGCCCAAACCGAAGCAGGTGGTTTTCTTAGGAGGTCACTCTCCGAGCCTTTGACCTAGAGTTTTAAACCACAAGGCAGAAGAGCAACGTAAGGAGATGCCGTCCCATGGTAGCCGGTGACCAACGATTGGTTCACATGTCATTTGTTCACTCAGGATCATGGAGCCCATGTGCACTATTGGTTTGGAATCAGGGTTTTCACACTCGCCTAGGTGAATCCTGCATATCCATCAACCCAATTAGAGCGCCGGACATTCGCTCTTCGTCCTCTCGATTTCGTAAACAACACTCCTGCCGCAAGAAGGCAGTGATTAGGACTTCCCTGGCAGTGGCTATATACGCGTGGCCATGTGAGAGCATTTCGAGAGGAAGAGCGGACTCTCTCCACTCTTGGCCGTACCAGGGCATTTGATGGCTCTATGATCTATCAAAGTTGTGACTACCAGCTATCAGTTCTTCTGTGAAATCGAATTTTCAACCCTGTTAACAAATGTTTGTAAAGATTCCTTTACTTATCCTGGGGAGGAATAGATCGTAAGCAGTAATAAGTTCTGAACCCTTCATCAAGGATTTTAAAAATCATAAACTGCTAGGAGAATACGGAAATTATAAAACTAGATAAATCAATGCCTATTTTAAGTCTTCTGCTTTCATTAGGCCTTCATTTTACATGGTGTTTCGGTCATATCTCATCCTTCAGCATGTATTCCCTTTCCCCAAGACCTATAGCTCTAAATATTCACAAACGTGAACCGTGTACATTAACTGGCCACTGAGTATTGGTCAGTGTCATGTTTGTCTAGTTCTTAGATCCGATTGAATTCTATCGACCAAGTTGTAATGTGGTTACACTCCATACTCCCTTTTTAAACTTATTACTTATCAATGCACGTTCACTTCTGAACAAAATCTCAGCCTTGAGAACATTAGCTTTTCTAGCCAAGCCTTCTTTCATACTTATCTTTGAAACATGGTGCTCTCAAGCAGTATCTGATTCAGAATTAAATATCCAGAACTATCGACTCTATCGCTGTGACAGAGAAACTTAGCGAGGAGGTGGTTGTATTATGTATACTTTGGATACCATAACGACCAATAAAGTTGAAGATAATGTTCTGAATAGTTTGCCAGAATCACTCTGGATATCAGTCAACACCCTGAATCATAGTCTACTCCTTGGATGTATATACCGAGCTCCTGATAGTTCGAATAATGGGAATGATCTTATTATCAATGCATTCATACATGCATCTGCTCTAAACTTTAGTGCTAAGGTTATCACTGGGGATTTCAGTTACTCTGGGATTAACTGGAGTACTCGATCTAATATTTAGTAAAGATGTTATCCCACTATCTGTAAAAGTATACGAGGAATTTGGAAGCAGTGAACATAAGATAGTAGTACGAGCTCTCTCTATCTATCCCTCTTATAACCGACCCATTCAAAAAACCTGTCAATATAGAGACTATAAGCATACTGACTGGGACCTCCTGCATTCACTGATTAAACTTTCAGACGGATAATTTTTCATGTAGTAGTCCCATGGATGCTATCGACGGATTCTATCTGGTCGTTAACTCTTGTTTAGATTCCTGTGTACATCTTAAAACGTACAGGCTTAGTAAACTTTACGAATTATATATACCAGCTAAATATCGTAATAAACTAAAACGCCTACAGAATTGTTATTTTAATTCAAACGACTTCACAGCAGTTGCACAAATAACAATAATTTTTAATCAAATTAAAGAGAAACATAGGTTAAAAGCCATTAGTGAAGAGCTGTTAGCACTTAATACTAACTCAAAGGTACAAAACGTAGCTCTCCATTTCAATAAACGCACTAAAGCAACTCAAAATATTGATATACCATGCATCCAGCATAACAGCACTTTTATGTACGACTCTAAAACTGTAGCAGAACTTTTCAGTGGTATTTTTGCGAATGGTGTAGAGATCATAAGTGGCTCTGCTTCAAGAGTTATGTGCGTGACTAGCAGCTCAATAAAATCTATCTCCTTCACATGCATGAAAATTAATAAGGCTATAAATACCCTTAAGCTTTCGAGAGGTCATGGAGTAGACGGGATTTCATCTTTTCTCTACAAATATGTTGGTCCAGATATTCCACTTCTTCTTCTAAAGCCGTTTAACCTCTATGGAAACTGGTTCTTACCCTTACTGTTGAAAACCGCGTACATCATACCACGTTACAAATCTGGAGATAAGACTGACATGAACAATTATCGACCGATAAATATTACTCCAGTTATCTCTAGGATTATGGAAAAAATTATAAGTGATGAACTTTCCAACTATTTACTTGCTGGAAAATTTATCAATGATACTCAACATGGATTTCTTAAAAATCGTTCTTGCATGACATATCATTTTGACTTCTTTAATTTAGTCTATTCTCTATGTATCCAAAGATATCTAGTCTTAGTGCTATATCTGGACATTTCTGAAGCCTTTGACATGGTTAACCACCAACTTCTTATAGGTAAACTCGCATCTGATAGTGCTCAAAATCCTTCGCTTGGTTTGATTCCTTTCTCAGCAATCGACATCAAATAGTTCAAATTAACTCTTCATTGTCTAACATTGTCCCTGTTAGAAGTGGTGTAATACAAGGTAGTGTCTTAGGCCTTTTGCTCTTTTTAGTGTTTATCAATGATATTTGTGAAGGTTTTCGTGTGTGTAAGCCCCTTCTATATACAGATGATCTTAAAGTAGTATATTCATGTTCTCCACATGAGCTGGAAAATTTACAAAATTGCATCAGCATGGAGCTTAACAATGTAGCACAGTGGTGCTTAAAATGGCAAATGGAGCTTAATACGGCTAAATGTGGATGAATATGCTTCGGCGATACATCACTCAACCTAGACCTTACCATAAATGGAGAAGTGTTATCTAGGTTACATACAGTAGTAGACTTAGGACTTAGATACTCCCAAGACTTGTTGTTTACAGAACAGATATTGAAACAGACCTCTAAGTCTCAACGTCTAGTAGGTTACATAACTCGGGACCTTTATAACAATGAGTCACGTATTTTAATGTACAAAGTTTGTGTTCGACCTCTTCTAGAATATTTCACGTTTATTCTTAGCAGTGCGCGCATGAAGAATAAATTAAGGCTGGAATCCGAACAGAGACGATTCGCACTTCGTATTCTTGGAGCTGATTGTACCTTAACTTATAATTTCAAATGTGATGAACTTGGGCTAGACCCTTTACGGAAGAGGAGACTCAAACTAAATCTTATCTTTTTCTTCAAACTACTTAATAAACTATTCTTTACATCCAATCACGTGATTCAATACGCAGAAGCTTCTCATTATGACGTCCGTAATTCCTTGTCACTAATGAAACAAACTTATTCTAAATCATCTCTTTATATGAATTACTTTATCTGTAAGTTTTCTAGTCTCTGGAATAACCTACCGCAATCTATCCGTACGATAAAATCACTCCCATTATTTGTTCGCTGCATCGATGCATACTGCTTCTCTGAAAATGCATCGAATGTTCTAGCACCTGTAAGTGTATCTCATTCCACAAGTGATATTATAGGAACTTTAAATGCTTAGCCATTTTTATTAGTGCATTCCCTAAGTAAAACCACCTACTTGCTGTCACTTTATGTTAACACCGTCCCCAGCAAGTTTAACTAATTTGAATAACATCAACAGTATATCACTGTGTCACATGACACACGCATTTGGTAGACCTGATTGACATATTTTGGTAATTACTCCTTTGCTGTTCCGTGCTCTGTTTTCGTTTTAATTTCTCTAGTTGTAGATAATTATTAATTCGATCTGGCGCACGAAGTGACCTTAATTACACCGTTCATAAATCAACAGGCTGTCCATTTAAGGAACATTAAAAGTTTCCGGCTGATGCATTGGATCGCTGTAATACATGTACTACCTAAACAATTACTGAACTAGCATACTTGAAACTTTCTTCTATCACATGTTTGTTCTGTACATCTAATGTTACTGTTTATATCAAATTGATCATGCCTGTAAACTGGCGTGAATTCTGTGATTATTATTTTCAGAATATATAAATTATTATAATTGGCTCAACATCGCGTACCCTGTACCTTTGTTGGATGGCTGCAAGTAGTTGACAGTGGTAAGGTTTCAAACTATGGAACTTGGTGATCCGGGTTCGAATTTACTAGAGACTATCAGTGTCTTGGAGATCGCTTTACTAATGAGTGCCAACTAGCATAAAACCTGGGTCAAGTAGCGTTTCTTGCCACTTACCCCCGACCATCTAATGATAAGCAGTTCATTACAGTCTGTCTTAAAGAATTGTAACACAGATTAAAAGTTTCATTGATATTGACTATTAATCAACATTTTAAATAACCTAATGTGACATTCTTAATATAACTTATTTTCAGGTCGCTCTTTATCTGTGAGCCCAACATCATCCCTTCTTATTAGTCCTACAAATATTCCTGAAGCTATACGACTAAAAGGTTGGTATGAACATGAAGGTCGCTACTCTAACTTTGAAACCTTCCGTAGTGAAATGGTTGGATCTTCAGGAGGAGCAGATGGTGTATCTAGTTCGTCTGGTGTTCTTGGCGGTTGGAATCTTTGCAAGATGTCAAAGCATCTGTGTGGGAGCTAATGTAAAAGCAGATTATTTCACTTGTAAAGTAAGTGAACTTCTTTTTTGTTGTTAAAGCTTGTGTTTACTCACGTTACGGTTTATAAACGACATATTACATTATCATACGGGAAAGCTTAAAATTAATAGTTAGTGATATAACTCATTATATATGGATAAATTCATACACTTGAACCAGTGTATTCTAGTAATTCTTAGGAATGCGAACCATTGAATATTGTAATCTCCCACCCGTTATGCAACACAACGCATTATTGAGATATGTTGTGTTTTAGTCATTTGAATTAAAAAGGTGTGAATCCTTTATCTTGGTGGGTTTTTATTTTGTAAATAAAATATTACTAAATATCTTGTAAACATATCATTGTAAACTTTTAGTCTTAGCTTCGAACTTGTTGGGACTACTCATTAATAGGTTTATCTTCACTTTTCCCAGAACACGCTTTTTATGAACATCTAAAATATTTCTAACATTATGCTAGGCAAGTAAGAATTTAACACATGTTACTCATCTCGAATGATTGTATTGGATTCTAGAGGTTGCGTTACTATATAGCCTGAGACGTTATCATACATGAATCAAAATGCAGAAACCAGTAAACTATTCTATCGCAATTTTTTATTATGTACAGGAGTCCGGAAATCCGTCTTTCTGACGAACATATTCCATTTTAGTTGTATTCACTTGGTGCTTTACTCTCCGTATTATTACAAGGTGAATTGAATTGTATATCCGTACCATGATACCACCTAAACGCAGGGTATACGGGAATAATGGAAAATCAGTTGATGGGGTTGTGAGTTTCCATCGACTGAGATGGTTGGGTCACTTATTACGCATGCCGAACCACCGACTACCATGGCACACAATGCTGACTAGTGTTGGAGACGGATGGTAGTCAGTTAGAGGAGGTCAAACCCAAACGTGACATCGGTTTATAAAGTCACAGACTTCTGGTCTAATCCATATGGGTAGATGCAAACTATTTGGTTGGGGTCCGCGTGACTAACTTAACAAATATTTGGAAACTCTGGATGACAGCTCAGAATCAGTCATAATGGCTTAGGTGTATGTACACTTTGTCTTCCATTAAATTGTGAGATTAAAATAACGTCATACCCCTGTATCACATTCTTATATGCAATCTTTTTTATATTACTACCGTTACTACCCCAAATGTCCGAGGTTGGGGAGAGTCCGCTCTTCCTCTCGAAATGCTCTCACATGGCCACGCGTATATAGCCACTGCCAGGGAAGTCCTAATCACTGCCTTCTTGCGGCAGGAGTGTTGTTTACGAAATCGAGAGGACGAAGAGCGAATGTCCGGCGCTCTAATTGGGTTGATGGATATGCAGGATTCACCTAGGCGAGTGTGAAAACCCTGATTCCAAACCAATAGTGCACATGGGCTCCATGATCCTGAGTGAACAAATGACATGTGAACCAATCGTTGGTCACCGGCTACCATGGGACGGCATCTCCTTACGTTGCTCTTCTGCCTTGTGGTTTAGAACTCTAGGTCAAAGGCTCGGAGAGTGACCTCCTAAGAAAACCACCTGCTTCGGTTTGGGCACCCGGGTACTATTACAGTCCTCACAAATTGAATGATGAAGTGTGGAGTATATGTATTCGGTGCGCCTCTGTACCAGTATTTATATATTCAGATAAATAAATACCCATTGAAGCAACTACTTCTATGAATTCGGTGTTTATCTTCTACTAATAAGGTATGGAAACTTGGACCCATGCATATATGTGCCTGGTCCTACATTGCAGATGACTGACTGCCACCATCCTAATTAAAGTATGATATGTTTTCTTTGATTTGTAATTGTTTATTTACAGCTGGATGTCTTAATACTAAAGAACGCCAATTAACATTTGCCGTTATAATGATTTTTCTTTCGTACCCATCTCTCCATTGCACTGATAACTGTTATCCTATTTTCCCACATTAATTGTCTACTCATTTTGAAAAGTGATCATCGTTCTATTTTTTGCCTTCATACTTTATGTATTATGATGTATTCAACTTTTAGGCCACTGTTGTATTCATGAAAAAGGAGAATTTCATGTATCAAGCTTGCTCTACTGAAGGATGTAATAAGAAGGTGATTGATTTAGGCAATGGGCTATATCGATGTGAAAAATGTGCTAGGGAAACACCTGATTGTAAATGGCGCTTGCTTCTTATGGTAGGTGTTACCTATGCTGTTCTACTTAAAAACTATCATGTTTAACCTACTGATACTCCCAATAGCATGCTTTCACTTTTTATTCTCTAAAAGTATTAGTATTTATAAGTCGACGAAATAGCCATCTAATGCTTCTATGTTTTCAATATTTGTCTAACTTTATTTGGTTCGTGATTTCAGTGATATATATATATATATATATATATATATATATATATATATATATATATATATAAGCGCAAAAACTAATGAATTAGACGTCACATAGTATACTAAATTATGTTTAGTAAATATAAAACCCAAAGCTACGAGAGTATCAGTAGTTTGTGATTGTTAATCGAGGTCCATAAGATAGACCCCACAGTATTCTTGATTGATCACACCCATCGAAACAGTTTAGCCCTCAAGACTGAATTACGTCTCTTCATTTATCAACAAGTTAGATATTCAGTTGATAATGGCATTTCTAACTTCTTAGGACCAAAGTTGCTAATCAACAAGTTTTAATTGTTACAAAGCTTGCGGAGTGAGTTATCTCTTAAATTAGATAACTCCACTGCTGATCAAGTTAATTATTATCATTACCACTATGATCCACGTACAATCTTAACTATTTATAGAATGAATTTCAGTTGTTAGATGGTTGAGGGTATTTGACAGAAGAATTTGATTGACATTGGTTTCATGCTAATTGGTACTAATCAACAAGGTTTAGCTACAATCTTGAGGGATCTAATATGCTCTGGTAGATTTTAACCTAGGTCACTCAGTTCCATAGTCGTAGGTGTTATTGCTGAGTTATTTTAACTTCGACTTCTCTTCTGTTGGACTGGAATATTGATTGATCACTACTCAGAATTGCAGTTGTGAAACTATACTTTCAAGTATTTTCGAAAGGCTGTGTAGGATAAATGTTGGTCAGTTTAGAAAAAACGTAACTCAGAATTATAAAGTTGATCATACCGTTCTAAGGAAAATTTGAACTGTGTATTCTAATACAAACCGTATCGAATATTCAATTTAGTCGGTTCATTTACTTACGTTGACAATTTTTAAATATTTAAATCTGTTTTTAGGCCAAAATTGCTGACGTCACTGGAGATTTATGGGTTACATGTTTCCAAGACGCTGCTGAAGCTTTACTGGGACAGACAGCTGAAAAGTTGGGCACTATAAAGTCAACACAAGTAAATATTTCTTCCTCTTGTCTTGTCAGCTATTCTGTATTTTATGACATTTGGTTTATTAAACTAACTTCCCTATGTACAATTGATTATTCATTGAATAGTTACGTTTATCTAGTCCTTTAGCGCTTATCCCAGGAAAAGAGATAGTAGTGGTATCAATAGAGGTGGAAAGGATTAAGTTATCGAAAGAAGCGAAAAAGTCTAAAATAATTTGAAGATTTTCGATCTAAAAGAAGACAAAGAGTTAATGCATCTGCACAATAGCGGATTATTTTGAGCCATATTGTTCAACGCCTACAACCACTGCTTATGATAACCGCGCAGACCCCAGTCGAGCGGTTTGCGTACTGCTTAGTCCGGCTATCACTGGATTCACTGATACCACGTTTTCGTTCAACCATCTCTAACTTTCAGCCTATACCAGACAACATTGCCCTTCCAAATAGACAGACAGTGGTTAGGCATATACGACACATGTCCCAACCTCCGTAGCTGATGAATATTCACTAAATCGTCAACTGATTTGCTATATTTATCTAGAACACTATACTCAACAAATATATTTGGAAATTTTCTTCAAAAATATTTCTAATTCAAACTTAATGATAATTGTTGTTTCTTTCGTTATTTTTTCTCATTAGGATGAAACACAGTTGGAAAAAGTGTTCATCGAGTCAGCATTTAACTCATGGATATTTCGTTTACGAGCTAAAGTTGATCGTTATAATGTAAGAAGTCGTTGATGTCTCTTATTTCTCTTTTTTAATATACTGGTTTAAGTGTTTTTATTTCCCATTCTATGTTTGTCGATTTTCATCGATCACCGGTTTGTGCTTTTCTTTATTATCATTGTATCGGTACATGGATAGGCAGAAGGACAAAAATATATATAAGAGGATCTCCACACATACACCTCATAGTATTATTTTTGGTTGGAGTTGTATTATCATGTTCTTTGAGTTGTCGAGTCAAGTTGGTTTTGACCATCATAAGCTCTGCTAGATCGAAATCTAATGATCCACATTTCAAACTCCAATAATTTCCTACTACAATGTGTTCCTCATCTAATTTCAAGCTTGCATGTACGTCTTGTCGCCAAGTCTCTCAATAAACACAAAACCTTGATCAAACAGGGTTTCCTGCTGACCATCTTAAGTTACTCAGCATCATTAGTGAATTGATACCCTATTCCCGAGTTGATTGATTCCTTAAATCATCGTTCCTTGAAATATCACTATGGTTAACCTAATTTGAGATTAGTCGCGTTATTATTGTGTGCGGACGAATATACGGTAAAGTGTAAACACATTGAATACTTTAGTAAAAACTCGCAAATTATAAAATGTGATTTACTCGACTAAAGATACCGTTAAAAAAATAACACATGAATTATTGATTCTTTCAGCAAATTTCCAAATCTCTTTCTGAAGATTTTCTAACATCTCTTCTTTCCACATATATATCAACCTATATTATCAGTTATTTTCTACTTTCCTTTAAATTGTGTTTAATTTCTTTTTGTATATACACAGGACGAAGAACGTTTACGTGTTGTTGTTGCAGATGTTAAACCGGTAGATTTGATTGATTATTCTAGGCGTTTATTAAAAGCCATAAATGATCTATCAGCAACTTTATCTATTCAGTAAAAATCAATTAGCAATAACTGTTGACGGTGATGACGATGATGATGATGATGATAATAATTTTGCTGCTTCCATTCATCAACACACAAATAAAGAAGGCATTTCTCTCTCTTTTTTTTTTATAAAGAATTACATTTTATTTTCAGAGTAATTAAATTCCATTATCACTTGTATAATTTGAACATTTACATATTGTTTCCATGAAGAGATTATCACAGATTGAATTGGTTTTGTGCATTGTTTCATATGTGATTATAACCGAGATAGACAATGAAATATAAATATATGTGTGTATCTATCTAGATAATTAATTGTTTTCTTTTCATTGTGATTTTTGTTTGGTTATATATTTTAGTTAGATGGGTTGAGATTTTGTTTCACAATTTTTGAATTACTTAATATAACTAATAACTAGTTAAAATGTAAACTGAAGATGATTTCATGTATTGCTAACTAAATTCCAACCAGCTGTTGGTTTTATTTATTTATTTATTTAAACACATAAATATTGGTACATGGGAGCACCAAATACATATACGCCACATAACATTATTCGATTTGTGTGAGGGTTGGAATAGTGCCCTGGCGCCTAAACTGAAGCAAGTGGTTTTCTTAGGAGGCCACTCCCTGAACCTTTGACCTAGAGTTTTAATCCACAAGGCAGCGGAGCAACGTAAGGAGATGCAGTCTCATGATAGCCGGCGACCAACGTCATTTGTTCCTTCAGGATTTTTGAGCACACGTGTACCATTGGTTTGGAATCAGGGTTTTTCAACTTCCCTAGGTGGACTCTCCGTGTCCGCCGACCCGGTTAAAGCACCGGACATTCGCTTTTCGTCCTGTCAATTCCGTAAACAACACCTCCACGGGAAGGCAGTGAGTTGGACTTCCCTGGGGATCGGCATAATTTGATCTTGTACGTTGTAAAAAGTTGTTGAGAGCTAGTCTACATTACTACTGACTATGGTTTGAATGAAGTAAAGTATGAATTTTACAGGTAGCTTTCGAATAAAAAAACATGTGAGTTCTATAAATTCTGAGTTCGAAGAACAGATAATAGCGACTGTCTGTTTCAACTGTGTTTAACCAACCGATTAATCGTAGCAAGTGCAAAATTTAAACGCCAACACAGCAATATGCTCAAATTTATCTGTTACCAACCATTATTGGAATTCTCACTAAAATACTGCCCTAGTGAGAGCGCGCATTTCTATATATTGTAATGAACCTAAGAAAGCAAATACAAGAAAACTCCTTAGATATCAATTTGAAAGTGAGAAAGTCAGTAATGGGTTCAAAATAGAATTCTCTAAGCAAATAATCGACCGTAGAGGGAGTTTATCGTGAAGAATCTTGCGTTGATATCCAATCAACTGTAAATGCAAATTAGTATCTACCAATCACTTTAATCAAAGGTTAGGAAAGACTGGTGGATTTTGGTGGCATCTAACGATTTGATATATACTCAGAAGCGTATCCCATCAGACTCTGAACACCGTAATGAGCGATGACAGCACAAACGTAGACTAATAAAATTACCTTGTCGTGAATAGTAACAGGGACCTATAGTAGGAGAAATGGAAAAGTCGGCAGTTGTAAGGACTAAGGAAATAGCTATTGGGAGTCTTTTAATAGGACCATATCGAGAAACGACGGGACCATTATTCACTGATTTCTATGACCACCCGATGGTCAACTAAGGCTTATGTAAACTTCTAGTTTTCGTGAAGTAGACTCCTGATGTCCAGAACGACAATGAAAGCTCCAGAACTAGACCATTTAGCTCAGTTAACATAACGCCAAGAATGTTGTTATATCTCAACCTGATTGGATCCTGTTTGTCACTCCTTGAAGTCGAATATTCCACAAATATCCCACCTGAATATTATAATTTAACTACAGGTTGTATAGCCAGCAATGAATGTTTATTTCTTAGCTATCTATTTAAATCCTTTAATTAAGAATTGCGATGGTTGTTGACCTGTTTGTATTCAAAATGAAATGGAAAACAACATATATTCATAAATATTTCTCAAAGTAAATGAAATAATTCCTGATTGAGAATTTCACCATGGATTCTTCTGATAGGTGGGAAAAAATTCGGAGGTTTATCTTATTATGAACTAACGGTAGACCAGCTCGGCATTAATTAGTCATGTTTAGTGGTCTACCATGTTAGTATTACTCCAGAGTCGTATAAACGCGGGCAGCCATTAACTCATTATAATTTATTAAACAAGTGTATCGTGTATATGATATCAGTTTATATTCTTTGATTGATATCCAAGGACTAAAATAATAGACCCTTTTTATTTGAGTCTAAACTCTTTGTAAACAATTGCTTCAATTTTTCCGTAAATTACAAGTTCAATTTCTGGGATATTAAAGTACAAACCTGATTAATTATTATCAATAGTAATAGTAGTAGCTAATACAAGAAAGTAAAAACACTGTCAAAGTGCTATATTTGAAAGTGTTTTTTGTCAGTTATTTGATTATATAGATAGAATGAAACCTCTTATTTTTTTGTATATATATTTATGCACACTTATTATCTATCTGGCTATTATTTATCGAAAAATAGTTCTCATCCTTTCATTAATCACCCGATGAAACATTCGTTGATTGTTTCAGTCTGTTTCATCATCACTGACGTCATGATTGTATTCATTATCATTGTTAGTGCTATCACCTGTCAATAAAGATGACATTGTTGTCAGTGATGATGATGATGATAGAATTTCCTGTCTATTAGATGAATTTACATTTCCAGTAATATTATTATTATTGTTCGACGTAAAGAAAACTATTGGGGATGTTTGCTGCAATGCATTCAAACGTAATCTTGCTAATAATCGTGTTGTTGAAATTAATGGTGATGAAGACGTTAGTGTTGTATTAGTTGTTGATGTTACAGGTGTGTTGTACTGATTATTATTATTATTATTATTCTGTTGTGAATTGAAATTAGTGAAAGGATTGGTAATAGTTTGCTCCCTGTAGGTCGGTGTAAGAAGTGTTCGCGATAAGTCTCTAGTATTGTTACTGTTAACTGAATTAAGAATGTTTGAGTTAATTGACTGGGATGTGTAATAATTCTCTTGCATATCATTATTATATACATTTGTTCTGTGAACATTTCTTGGAGTGTTTGAAGTATGCAGATTGTTATATTCCGTTAACTCACGATTTACTGTATTATTCACATATGGTGTAGGCGTACTATCTTCCGTATTCTCACAAAATAAATTATTTGGATTTCTTAACGGTCGAGTTCTTGTACCAATATCTAGATTTGGAATTAAAACACGATTTTGTCTTTCTTCTAATTCCATAGTCATAAGACGAAGCATTGCAGCTAATTGTTCACGTGTTTCTCTTAATTGTTCAACTACTCTTCTTTGTCTTTGAGGAACTAGACGTCGAAACTCAAGTGGTCGATTTGTTCGTTGTACTGAATTATTTATTAAAAGTGTCTGAGTGTTATTATTATTATCATCATCATTACTATTATTATGTAAAGGCTGTGTATTTAAATTACAAGTGAGTGTTTCATTAAATCTGATAGCTGGAAGATTAATTTGATTATCTGAATGTTGATCCGTTACATTTAACTCGGTATGATCTCCCATAAATTCCTCTTCTAAACAATGACTGTGAATATCATTGGAATTCACATTTAGTAAGCTATTTATTTCAGTCGAATTAAATTCATTGTCATATTCTTGAGAAGATGTATGCGTTAATGATTGTTGTATTTGTTCATTTCTTATCTGTCGTTGTCTTCTTAAATTAGGTAATCTTTCAACACGTATTCTAGAATCCCTTACATTAATTCGTTGTCTATGTCCAATATTATTCGTTGTTTGACTTATATGTGTATTTGATGCTACATGTGATCTTGTTCGTCTTGAATGAACTGGTGTGTTTAGAATTCTTTGTTGATGTTCACTTTGTAATCCCTGGGTACATGTATGATTAGTAGTTCCATGTGAATTATTTATTCTTGTTTCTTCCATGTTATTATTATTATTTTCTGATTGATTTACACTCTCACTTGTACTTAAAATGGATCGATTTTGAATTCTACTCTGTCTTTGCCTATTCCCATTTCTTAATGGCCGTATTTGTCTTTGTATTGCCGTTGTTGTTGTTAACAATCTTTGAGCTGAAGTCTCAGATAATTGATCAGTTGATTGACTGATTGGTTCACATACAGTAGGTACTTGTCCAAGATTCACATTTATTTGATTATTGTGAAGTAGTGAGCTATTATTATTATTATTGACGTGTAATAATTCATTTCTCTGTGGTATATCATTGAATTTTATAGGTATTTCTTTATTATGTACCATTTGATTTTGTGTTGTTATTGGAAGTAATGATGATGAAGATGATTTCATTTGATCTTTTTTACAATCTATTAATAATAAATCTAATTCATATGGACTATAACGTCGATGTTCATGTTGTTGATATGCACTTAATAAACCCATCCAATTACAACCATCTGTTGGACAACGAATACGTTTTTTATTGATTCTTTCGTTTAACTACAAAAATTCACAGAAGAAAGATACATAAGAATAACTATTTAGTTAAATTATATTATTAAAAGTGGTCATTATTGAAATAGGATATGTATTATGTATGCATAACTGTCACATAACATTACATGTCATCGTAACTGATATAGAAACGTTAATTATAACCTAAGGTTTGAGATATTAAATGTTATAACTCCTAAAATCGATCTCAAACAGCTCATGTGCATTCGTTCTTTGTTTTTTAATATACTTATACTTTGTATTCCACTGACTTATTCTCTTTTGAATTACGTTGTCTATGCCTCATCTCTTCTACCAACAATAATACTGGTTCTACCACTCTGATATTTATATTTATAATTTCATCTTACTGTACGGATGTAGTATGACAACTTGAACCGGAAAATATGTACCAGATTCTGTGTTTCTCATGACTGACTGATGATTATGACAATATAAAATTTCTTATCAAACTGTTAATACTATCAGTTAACATAATATCATACTGATAGTGCAGAGCTCATCGGGACAGGAAATAAAAAAAACCAACGCTTAATATTTATTAATTTAGGGATTCAAACAATATTCAATACATTCTGTAAGAAGGTGAACAGTTGAATACGTAATTGGATTTTTTGTTGTGTTGGTAATAAGTCGTTGAAGATTCTAGATAACCTGGTTCGTAATGATCAAGACAGGTTTATTCTTAATTTCTTTTATATTGACCGAGAATATATAGATTACCTATAGGGAATAATAATAAATGATTGTTAAGTTTGTCTTACATTGTTCCTACTCTTCCCCTTCCTACTCTTTTGTATATTGTCTTATAGTACATATTTACATTCAGTAAGCAGTTGTATTCCCAACAATTTTCAAACTTATGTTGTAACGCAAGTTGTACTGTAACATTCTAAAATCTTCACATATATTTGCAATGTTTATCGTACTTATTAGTGTATTCATCATTTTAATTACTGTAGCGCTTATCCACAGTTTTGTACATTTGTTTAAACGCAACAGTTTCCATATTGTTTTGCTCTTGGTTTGAGTTTCGGTTGCTCATAAACTGTTATCAAATTTAGACACAGCTACCAGCTGTTTTTTGTACTATTGTATGTTATAGTTATTCTTTATGTTACTGTTACAGGAAGCCTTTTTATTTTCATAATTGAAGGACGTGTTTAAACGCCCCAGATACCTCACAAGTTGAGGTTTGTAACTAAATTTTGTGTATTATTTAATAAAGAACCGCTATTGTAGACAAATCGTTGTTTTGGAAACTTCGGTTTTGCGCGTATCTCACTCGGGTGACTTGGGCGCTTCGATAGACTTAACAGTGATTATGAAGAGTAAATTGAAAATCGGCATTGTTATTAGCGTACCATTATAAATTTCTATCATCGTTAGTATGTAACAACTTTTCGATTCTATAACCATAAACTATGTTTCTTCTTACTACCAATATATTCACAATATATCATGAATTAATTGAAGTATGAAATGTGAATCGGGAATGTACACTTCTCAGCAATTTTACACTAGGGCTTAATAACTACCAAGAGTTCTATGTACTTCACGAGTCAAATAAATCCCGGAAATGATATATCATAAATTAAAATACGCTTATTTAGCTTACATCATAATTCTTTGCATACAAACCATCACATCTGCATACTGGACAACTATCATGACCAGTTGTTGGTCCAGTAGACCAAGTATATATACAACCATAACAAAATTTATGCTGGTTTTGACATTGATAAGCTTCTTTAAGTATCATGTAACTAGAAAGAAATGAAAAACAAAACACAACAATGTTAAACATATTGTGGATAGAATATGATATAAATATCTTCAAACTGACTACATAATCTGAAATTAGTTCGATGCATAACAGTTTATGATTGATCTGTCTTGGAGATATTATGTGATCCATTGATTAATTTATGTCAGAAATAAATCTAATACTTATCCTATACAGTTGATGATGATCATGTTGAATAAAGTTGTGAAAAATTCTAACACTAACTAATTAATATAATGTTAACTATATAACATGAAGATTCTGATTCGAACCTAATCTACAATTGTCATTTAATAATTCTAACTGATCTTAGACTAGGACGAAACAGTTCTTCATTGCTTTGGTTAATGTTATTATATGAAAGTCTAAACATTTATATTACGCAACAAACTATGTAATGTGTTCATCCAATCGCCGCTATCATTATTTCTTGCTAGAGTTTTGATTTTATTCAGTTGTGAATTGAGTACTGATAAGTCTTGCGTATTGAACGTTATATTCGTTTCCTAAGCTATTCTGTAATCACCAAGCTAGAACTATACAACGAACTGAACAACGAGAGAGAAGACGCAAAGTATGCGAGAAGTAGTTTACTCCAAGGTTTATTTAAATACAAAAAATACAGGGTTTTTATAATGTTTTAAATGTCCTTGGGTTACTAGAAGATTCTGGAATGCGACTAAACATAGTAGCAGTGTAGCAATCAGCCAATCAAACCCTCTGCATGTGATGTTTCGCTTCCTTGATATTTTTGGCTAAAACTTCAAGTGAACGCTGATTGGGGGAAACGCTTCTTAGTGTTTCCTGATCCTTGCTTGTCTTTTGAGAGAAACTTGCCGGATCACCCCAACAAGTTCATAATAAACATTTCATTCTTAATGGAAATCAGATAGTTATATCTATTTTCAGTTGCAGTAACCTTCTGACTAGATTTGAACAAAGCATCCATTATTTCAAATTTCTAGGAGTTATGCAGTAAATCAAATGACAATAATCGCTTGTTCATCAACGTTTATAAGTTGTTCTTTCCATACAGATATCCACCCTCAAATATAGTCAGTACATCCATATTATTAGCATTAGGACACCCATACTTCGACATTATTATCTTAATAAAGATCAATTAATTAACCAAAAGTTGGCATTATTTAAATGATAAGTTGATTGTCATATGTTCACTTGAAAGTTTAGTATCAAAACATAGATTGCACACAGTTATTTGTTGTGTATATAAATGTTAGTCAATAAATAAAGTTGTTGTTGTCATTTCTTTATGAGGATTGATTGTTTTCATTCAACAGCATTCTCCATTCAATTCTGTCCTGAACAATCCCTTCCAGTTGCTAACCATCCTCTTCATGTGTGCTTCCGATTCCCAGAGCAGTGCGTTATTTGCTCTTCCTCTTTTCCTTCTTTCTGTTCAGGATTCCAGGTTAGAGCTGACCTCGTGATACAGTTCGATTATTTCCTCAGTGTGTGTCCTATCCACTTCCAACGTCTTTTCTTAATTTCCTCTTCATCTGGAAGCTGTCTCGCTTCCTCCCACAGTAGGCTGTTGCTCATGATATCCGACCAACCAAAATTCCGTATCCTGCGTAGACGATTGTTTATAAATACTTATACTATTTTGATAATGGTTGTGGTAGTTCTCCAAATTTCATCTCCGTACAGTAGAACTGTGTTGACGTTCGTATTGAAAATTCTGATTTTGATATTGGTTGACAGTTGTTCTGAGTTCCATATATTCTTTAACTATGGGAATGCTGCCGTTGCTCTGCCGATCCTCGCCTTTATATCTGCACTGAATCCTCCTCGTTCATCGGTGATACCTCCCAAGTACGTGAAAATCTCCATCAAATGTGATTGGTTTGGTGTCCTCTGTGTTGTATTTGAGGATCTTGCTTTTTCCTTTGTGCATGTTTAAGCCTACTGATACAGAAACTGCAGCTACACTAGTTGTCTTCATCTGCATTTGTTCGTGTGTATGGGATAGAAAAGCTAGGTCATCTGTGCTGCCCCTCAAACGAGGAGGTCTTCATAATCCAGTCAACCACCAGAAGAAAGAGAAAGGGGGAGAGTAAGCATCCTTGTCCGATTCCGGTCTTCACCTAGAATGCGCCTGTCAGCTGTCTTCCATGAATGATTTTGCAGTTCAGTCCGTCCTATGAATGCTAGATGATGTTGACAATTTTCCTAGGCACACCACAGTGTCGAAGAAGGTTCCGTAAGGTTCTTCTATCTACGCTATCATACGTCTTCCCATACTCAAGGAAGTTGATGTATAGTTATGTGTTCTATTCAATTGACTGTCCAACAATGATTCTGTTTCCTCTAAGCTGTCTTAATAATAAAATAGCGAATCTTGTTCGTTGTTTTTTAGTCAAAGTAACTATAATCAGAATTATTCTTATCATTAATAATGTGGGAATCTTTCAAGATCGACTTAGAACTTTGTTCAACTGAATAATAAAGGAATAAAAAGTTTAACATTGATAAGTGACCTTAGTTAAAAAACTGTTGAAAGCTATGAAGTGTTGGTTAGCTGTTTTGTCTTCATATTATAAGATGACTGAGGATATTACGAGTCGACTGAAGTAAGAAATGTAAACCACTGGATATCAATTGAGTGGTTTAGAGGCCTATCGATCGGTGAGAGATATGCAAGACTATGAGTTTGACCGCCGGTTGGTCCTAGATGGGAATCTCTGAAGAGTCCCATACTGAGGTCAAACAGTTGACAGGAGCCTCTTGCTTTTTGATAATTGTTTAATTATAGTCGGTCCGTGATTTCATAAGGAAAATCAAAAACCAAACTGAACAATGAGAGTAATGCAAAGGATTTTGGTCCTTCTGAATAGTGTCTGAATACAACTCTTCATGTACACCGTTAGGTTGTTACTAGTGTAATTTACTATTTGATTGTCATGACTTGACATTCTATATATCGGTATTTTCAACTTTTACGTGTTTGTTCTATTTGGTAAGACATCCAAGAATAAAAACTATTTTACAGATATTTCTCTTTTTAATTCCGATCGCATCGAACATATTAACCGATGGGTGTGTATATGTCTTCTCCCTAAAGTACTCGAAATCATTGGTGTGAACATCGGTCAAACTTTTGTCTCGAGACTTTACATCATAGCTTCCGCGTTTAATCCCAAATAAAAGATGTAAGTGATATGACTTAAGAAATTTATGTAAATTGAATAAGACATGAATTTATAATAATTATTTCTGAATCGATTAAAATTCAACCATCGTGAAAAATCTATAATTGTACTATAGGACTCTTAAAATGATTTTAGGGTTTAGACAATTCTATTAATGGAATTTTTATGGTAACACCTTCAAATAATTAAATTATTATTCTAGACTATGTGTTTTCATAGTTGAGATCATGAGTCATTTGAAGCGAGACTACCATGGAAAACCTGGAATTATGTGCATGGTGGTCTAGCTTCAATTGACTCATGATCTTGACTCCTAAAATTACTATAATAATTACAAAACCTATTCTGATATTTGTTTTCAGTTAAAGTCGTTGCAACTTGTTGTTATTCATTTTTTTGAATGTGCAAATAAGTGTTTGTTTTGTTCTAAACGGTAAGTTGATATTTTAAACGAGATTTGATCGGTCTTAGTTGACACGTGTGCATCCTGTATAGATCACCACGATATAGTCATTGTGAATCAAGTCTACATAGAATAGATGGAATGTAAGTACCAACCGGACTTACATAATTCTCATTTCGTCATACTTGGGATCAATCAGTTGGATTTACGTGCGTCCCAAATTGGATGTCTAATTCATTAAGACTGATTAAATTACAGTTGAAATATCAACAATGGGATGCTTGCCAGAAATTCTTACAAATTAAATTGAAATTGATACCTGTTATACAAGTGAGTGTCAATCTGTATTCAGTAGCTTAATGTATAACAAGTTAGTATTTGTAGTGACAGATACTTGATTCATATGTTGGATTGAGCATACACTCTGAGATTCGTGTACATCTGTCTGACTAATCTCAGATAAGACGATAGGTATGTCATAAATTCAACTTAAAGTCACATTAAATCTGTTTTTTTTTAATACGAATTTTCAACACTGTCTGCACTTAATTTCATAAATAGTTCATTAATACACTAGTATAAACATCAATGTTTCCATGCTAAATAGTCATTAGTCAAGATTCACAATGTCAATAACTATTTCACAATGTGGTTACTTATATATCTTCAAGTAGTATAATATTTTCTAATCAAATAACGAATACATGATGTAATTTTAACCTTTACTTATTAGTACAGGAGGTTTGTGAAGATTGTTCACTTATGAAGTTAGTTTAAACCACTCACTAAATTCATTTAGATGGTTGTAAAACTGTTAAAAATTCATATGGGATACAGCCTTTACCAAATAGTTGTAGAGATTTGGGCTTAACCTAATGATGTAGACATGTCTTTCGGGAATATATTACGCAATATTTATGTGATATTCTGGAAAATTAACAAAAGTATAGCCAACAGTCTAAACTTTTCCAGTATTTGTTACTCATAGCATTATGGTATATATATTGATATTTAGGTGATATATTTATAGATAGACATAACTTGATATGAAAATCTAATCAGTATTTTCGTCCTTTGAATAATTGATTCTTTGTGTGGAAATTATTCAAGCATGACTAAAGTTAACTTTTGTGTACCCTTAAAGTTACGATACTTTTGTATGGTTGTGTGATAGGTGCATTGAAAGTGGCGGCTGAATACAACGTTGTTTTTTAAACTTTATATTGTCACGTCTTTGGATACAAAGTATCATAAGGTTAAGTTGTATAAATCACTAGGAATACTCTGAAATTTACATAATATTATTGAATGATTTATATGATAACAGTCTGGCTAAAATATTGAGTAAGATAAGTCATTATGTATATCTGACTTTATAAGTAAAATAAAACAAAGAATCAATCA